ACCACATCATTTCTTCAGACTCGGCCTTAAATCTCTTTTCATATGGTAAACAACACGCGTGGATGTGGGGTGTGGCTTGTTATTTTTTTTTCATAATAGTAAAATGCAGGTGATGAAAACGAAAGTGTTCTTCAGACTGAGCTATGGCGTCTGTCTGTCGTAAGTAGCCTTTAAACGTTATGAGCATTCATGTAGTACTGTTTCTGTAGCCTGTTAATAAGGTGTTATCTTTTGTTTTTTATTTGTTTGTTTGTTTACTGCATAGACTGTGTGTAGTTTCTTCGACAGCAGTCATTTGTAGTCCACGATAGATCTACTGTTATCTCTCCTGCAAAGTTATTAGATCTTAGAATCAAACCAACTCATTGCTGATATTTGCCATATCAGAAGCAAAACTGCGGAAATTATTCAAGTCTGAACTTTTTGAGGGAAACACAGATTTGTAAGAAATGGAAACCTAAAGTTTTGGTTTCGTTTTTTATTAAGCTCACCGTGCAAAGCATACATAACCAAAAAGTCTAGATTGTCAAAAAAAAATGCTTTATTTGTATTTAAAGTGATTCAAGTCGAGGCTTTATTGAGCTTTTTCTTTGTTTTTTAGCATGTAGATTCTGACCTCACAGCCTGTGATTTAATCAGCCAGCAGGGGGCAGCAGATCTTCATATAAACATGCATTTGGATTATAAATCTGCACCGAAACTTTGTGTTTCTAAACATACTAGAAAGAATATGACCCTTTATTATATAGAAAAGTTAACTTGAATTGTGTATGTAATAGGTCTTATTGAGTATAAATCACTACAGAAAAGTATTTGCAACATAATATAACAGATGATGCCACAGGTCAGTCTGTCAGGCTGCAGCAGAAAGGTCCTCCTCACAGGTTTACTACAAGTAATAAGGAAATTCTGTCACTTTACAAGCAAAAAATCCTTACAGAACATTCAGTTTTTAACTCATATGTTGTGTTAATTAAGAGTAAAGATGATGCATGTTGTTGTTCTTTTGTCAACAACAAATATCTCACATACATTAAATCACTAATTATGTGGACACCTTTTCATGTTTATTTCCAAACACTGTTACATATGTGTAACAGCCTCAACTGTTGTGTGAAGGTTTCCCGTACAACCCTGGTTGTAAATGTTTGAACTTTGAGAGTATCAGTGTAATGTTGTTAAAGTCCAGTTGGCATCTGAAGATGAGATCAGGGCTCCATGCCAAAACAAACAGGAAGGACTGTTTCTTTATGGATGTCACCTTGAGTACAGGGACATTGTTATGATCCCGTAACTGTTGCCACAAAGTTGGAAGTACACCATTGTGTTGTCCATTGTGTTGTCACTGCTTGTATTATATTTACCTACTAGCGAATAAGGGGTCAAAAGTATGTGTCCAAATACCATAAAGCCCACATTCATGTTGCATTCTGTTGCGTCTTGCATGGTACATATGTGTTTGTGAAGTCCACTCACTCTTCTAGGCTAAATATCATATTGAGTAATCTGTATTTCAAACTGAGTATCTTCAGTAACCAGCTAAACATGCAAACATATCTTATGTCTCTTTATTTATGTGTATTGGGCTTTTTTTCAGAGTCTGACGAGGAAAGCTTTTCTGAGAGTGAATCTGATGTCAGTGAAGAGTCTGACAGTGACGGATCTTCAGATTCAGAAGCTGACCTTCAGGTTTGTTTGCAGCTTTAATCACATCTAAAGCCAAGAGAAAACCAGTTTACACCAAAGGAGATTATTGTCATTTCCATCATGATTCATCCATTAAACTGGCTTTATACCTATTTGTACCCCCTCTAATGATGAAAAAAATCTTATATGTTGTTGTTTTAAGGTTTCTTCAAAGGAGCCCTGCAAGTATTACAACGGTAGTGGCTGCAAGGACAGAGGCAGGTGCAAGTACCTGCACGTCTGCAAGTATTATCTGAAGGGATCTTGTCGCTACGGGAATAAATGTAAGCTAAGTCACGATAAAAGTGGAGGAAGACGGTCTTCTGGTGCAAGCAGCAGGGCCTTGGATCAATCTAGTGGTAAGGAGAGAAAAAAAATCAATGAATCAAGAGCTGTTTATTTCATGTTTTTGCTTGATTAAGCATATCAATAACAGTGTTGATCTACAGTGCTTTTCCTGTGAGTTCTTCCATTTCATATATCATATGAACATTTGCCCCTGAAGATCTAAGCATAGAGATTGTTTCAAGATTTTCAGAGTGTAAAGTCTGCTCAAGACAAATTTAGGGATTTTTGTCAATATAAACTAATCTTACGTAATATCACTGTTTTAGGATTCAACAAGTTGTTTGACTTCCAAGAGAATTTTTCTTACAGCTTAAGGTTATTGTACCTCATGAAATGTTGCCTGTCTTTGTTAAAACAAATGTTATTTAGAGATTCAAGACTTGAAATTTATAAAACAAAATAGCGTACATACAAAAGCTGACAAACTTGTGAACAGTGCAACAGTGTGGTAACTATGTGACATTACGGCCTCTTGACTGTTAACAGATTCAGAAAACGTGGAGTAACTTTATAACAAAATCCTTTCTCCTTCTTGCTCTGTTTTGGTCTCCACCAACTGTCTGACTATTTAGCTGTTAAAAGTTCCCGTTTCTTCACCACATTTTTTTATTTTTTATTTTTTTAAACCAGGCCCAAAACTCACTGATGGTCGATTCTATCAGTGGCAGTTAAATGATGGAACTGGCTGGAAGGACGTTGACAACGATCACGTTCTGGAGGCCCAGTACTCGCTGCCCCACACCAAAAGCATCAAAATCTACAACACACCATACGGGTAAGAGCTGGAAGTATGTGTAATTATTAGGCAGTAAGTAAGAATGTGAAGCTTTATCTGTGCAGCTGTTTTTTTTAATTGCAAGCTACACAATGATGATGAAAAGCACCTGACCTTTGGGCGTTTTCTGCTCCTGTAACATTTTTACTCACTGTGAGCTCATTTTCACTGCAATATAAAATCCTACACGTCTATGAAAACGGCACAACTATGACTAGAAGTAGAAGGAAGTTGCATTTCCTTAATTATTTACTTTCACGACAAACCTTGGAATCAACTTGTACAAAATATTTCAGGGTGCCCACAAGTGTTACCAATAGTGGTAAAACCACAGACTGTAGATATTTTAATGCTATTATTTTTATATTTCCTTCCAGAAGTCTCATCTCTGTGTAAACACTGCCTGCAATACGGTTGATAATTGTCATATGACTGTTCCTTGCAGCTGATGGCTTCTCAGTTGTGCTGAGGACGACAGATTTTTGGTTCGAAAAACAATTTATCACATCGAATATAGTTATTCTGAAGAGTTATCACAATTTCAAACTTAGATTTGGTTTTGTTTCCAGACAGGACCACCTGCCACATGATACGTTCAAGCTGAGAAAGTTGAAAATCAGATGATTCTTTGTGTTTATGCAGTTTCTGACGAATCAATTATGTAATTTTAGTGATTTAAAAAAAAAAAAAAAAGCACGTCTTTCAAACCCACCAGCAGATTTTGAGGTTCAGAGGGTTAAACTTAGATGGGAGAAGATCAAGTACATGATGCATCTTTCTGTCTGTCTGCAGGGCAGTGAGTGTAGATTTTAACAAAATGAGAGTTTATGGAAAGAGGCTGAAAGTGAGACGTTTGGATGATGGTAACACCGTGTGGACCTGGTACTGCACCTTACAGCGAAAGTGGATGAAGTACGGAGCAAAGGTAAAACACAAACTGCATCTGTGTTTGAGTTTAAATATGACTGATTAACCAAAACTCTCAAGATTTGTTTCCCTTCCTTGTGAGTTTATCCATGATTTTTAACTCTTTTTTTTGGCCAGGATTCAAAGGGGAACCCCGGTCCTGTGAACAGCTCTGACATAGAGAAGAAGTTCCAGAGTAACCCGACAAGCTCTTTTACGTTCAACATTGGTGCTGAGACCTATGAGATTAAATTCAGAGGTGACTCACTCATCACATCCAATGAGAATGTTTACAGCTTAATTTTGTTTGTTGAACATTTCTGGTTTCTTCTGTAACCTTGTTGTTCTGTTTTGACTTTTGTTAGAAATGCGACAGGTGGGCAAAAAAAAGAGGAAAGTAACACGTCGACCAGAATACCGACAGCAACAAGCACGGCCACAGTGAGTCCCACTTATCTAAATAATCTAAAAACATGAATAATAAAAAACATGAATCATTTTTCTAGGCATGGTAGAACATGTGCTTAAACATGATTAAGTTAAAGGAGAATTTTTTTCAGTGGATCATTTTAATTTCATATAATTTTTAGAAAGAAAGAAAAAATAAATAGTAAAAACTCTTCACTTCCTGGTGCAAACAATGAACCAGGGCTTCATGTTGCAGCACAAACTGATCCCACAGTGAATAAAAATGTGACAGGAACAGAAACTGTTTAGGATTCAGAGGCTTAAAAAAACAGTTTGGTATTTTGGGAAAACACTAATTCCTTTTCTTGCTAAGATATTGATTAGAAGGTCAATACCTCTGTCCTGTCTGTAATATAAAATGAATATTGGCTATGAAGGTGCCAGCAGCCAGTTAGCTTAGCTTAGCTTAGCTTAGCTTAGCTTTGCAGAGAATAAACACTAGGACACACTATGTCATGCTTGCTTGGTATAAAGTGTACCACAGTGCCATTTTATTTGTGTGTCCAAATTCTGAATGTGAACATTTATTGGCTGTGTCGTTCCCTTAACTGGTTGCCTGGCAACTGCATCCCCTGTCCAAGAGGCAGTGTGGGTTACAACCCGTCCTAAACCGTAGAGAATGGGATAATTGTCATTTTTAGACTTGTTTCCTCTTGTCTGGGTCTATACTCAATATAAGAGGGCCAAGGCTCCTATTAAAATACACATTGAAATATTTCAGCTCCCCCATCCAAACCATTGTTCCCAGAGCAATGGAAGAACCACTGTTTGAATAGACGTTCTAAGTCATTTTATTGGGTTAACATTTCACAGTCATGAGTTTCTAATGGTTGTTTTTAATTAGCATCCTATTATGATATAAATAAAGAAAGGCGGGGGAATCGCTATGCATGTGAATGAGAGCTGGTGTAATGTTGGCACGTTAGCGTGAAAGAGCGGCGCTGCACGAAGGATGTTGAACTGCTGGTTTGCAGCCGTTTTACCTTCCGAGGGAGTTTTCTCACATCCTGGTGATTACAGTTTACATCCCCCCCTCGGCTGATGCTGCTGCAGCCTGTGAACACATCCATAGTTCAGTGTCCCAGCTGCAAACACCACACCCTCAGTCTCTGATCATCATCTCAGGAGACTTTAATCATACGTCGCTCTCTGCCGCTCTCCCCACATTCAGCCAGTATGTGGACTGCCCAACCGGAGACGGTGGGGCCTTGGACGTGCTGTGTGAGGACACCGGGGATGCATATTACTTAATTATTGTTATTTTCTTGTACTTTCTATATTTTTGGATGCTGCTGTGGGGGATCAATAAAGTATTCTATTCTATTCTATTCTATGCTCGTTCTGGATGGAGCTGCGTTACAGCGCAGACGTGAGAGTGATGTTGATCTGCTCATCAAACTCTCTGTGAATGTCATGGAAATGTCATGTTGTCGTTACAGTGTTTCTCAAGCAGCCGCAGCCATCCAGAATCTGACGTTGGGCTCCAAACCTGTGTGGCAGTTTGAGGGAGACAGCGGAGCGTGGCACGAGTTCAAACACAGGGTACGTCACCTGTGGATCGATGTTACGTCTATCTGACAGGCATCATTCATGTCTGAGTTCTAGGGCTGAGATAAACTCTGACAGCTGAACGGTTTTGTTTCTGCAGAGCGGCACTCAGAGCGAATGCTCGATAACCAGCGACAGCATCGAGAAGAAATACCAGCAAAACCCTCGTGACAGCATGACCTTCACAGTGAAGGGACACTCCTACAAGCTGGACTTTGGAGGTGGAGTTTTGTTGTTTATTCTGGGATAAGACAAAGTTTTAATTGGTCCATCATTTCCAAATGATTCAATCAAAGGTTCCCTTGAAAGAAGTGTATGAGTTTGTACTGATTTAGTCAGTTGTGTCAAAGTCATAAGCAGCTGCTGCTTTCAAGTTGGGCTGCAACTGACAATTATTATAATCGTTCATCAATCTGTCTATTATTTTCTTAATTAATTAATTAGTTGCTTGTTCTAAAGGATGTCAAGAAATGTTGAAAAACGTCGATCAAAGCCCAAGATGTTGTAGTTGAATGTCTTGTTTTATCCACAGCCTAAAGATATTCAGTTTACTGTCATAAAGGAGTCAAACAAAACAAAGAAAACAAGAAAATATTCACATTTTAAAGGCTAGAATCAGAGAATTTAGACTTTTTTATTTTTTAAAATTACATAAACCGATTATCGATCATCAAAATAGTAAATTAATTTAACAGTTGACAAATTTGCATGAAGAACTTCTCCATTTAACCCCAAATAAACATGAATTTAGTAGTTATTTGACACTGGAAGCTTTATTCTTTACACATGTTTAGCTGTATGCTAACCTTATGCTAAGCTAAGACACAAGCAGCTGGATGTAGTTTCATATTTAGCATACAGATGGATGGACATATAACAAGTTTCCTAAAATGCCAGCTCCATCCATTTAAAAGAACGATTGTCTTTGTTTTTACGAGGAATACATGAGTTGTAAATTTAAGCATTGTAGAGAAAATACAGCACAGAAGAAAGGAAGGAACTCATCTAGCAGTGCACTGTAACACTAATTAACATTAATTTTGTTGTTTTTGTGTCTTTTATTATGATTTTCTGCAGCAATGACCCAGATCAACCTCAAGACCAACCGCACGCGCCGAATCAGACGTGTGCTGGTGTGAGCATGAAAGATGATTCCACCGCTTCAGGAAGATTTAAAGTGCTCCATTGATGCAATAGTATTCAGATGTGTTTGTTTTGGGTGCTTGGAGAATATTTTTTGTATTTATTTTAGTCTCATTATCTGAAATAAACTACTGTGTTTACATTAGAAAGGAATTCAGGGTACTCCTGACTCTCTCTTAAGACTTTAAATGCTGCCGGACAATCTTGTACCAAGGTGCCTTTTGCAGAAGTGTTGTTTCAGGTCCTCCTAGCAACTGTAATCACTGTGGTTTTTAGTTTAATTTGTCTCACGTCACTTACTGTACACTGCCATACTAGAGGGATGCAGTTATTTTGATTGCAAAATGGGAGAAAGGAAATAAACTACAGGCCAAACACTCCTGAAATGATGAGACAGGATGTTTGATATCACACTGCCTCCTATGATGAAATAGAATTAGATGGAGCAGAATTGGGTAATGCTAATTAAAGACTATTTTGTACATTTGGGTTTTTTTACATTTTCTGTTTCACACATGCAAACTGCCTTAAGTGTAAACTGTTTTATGGTTTGTTCTGCTTCATAATGATGCATTCTGCTTTGACCCAAAGATCTACAACAAGTGACACAGATCATGGCTTGCTGAAAAATAAAAAAAAGATGAAATTAAAAATATATCCACTGTGTTGTATTGTTTTTCTGAGACAATCAGTTATCAGAACTGTTATTATTTTGTCTTTGGTGCTGATGGATAAAGGAGATCATACCTTTATGGTCACAGCTCCAAAGTTTTAGAACAGCCTCCTTCCTTCTAGTAAATGTACCTCTTCCATTTACATTTGAAAGAAACATCTTAGTTTGCTCGATTGTACAATTTTTTTTTAATATGTATTTTATATGTTGATTGTACAAACTGTTGTCCAGCTTGTCTTGTTTTTTGTGGGCTTTTTTTTTTGTTGGTGTTTTATTACTATTTTGCAAGTTTGATCCTGTTTCTATCTTCCTTCATTGTACTTTTGTTGTTGTTGTTGCCTGTCTTATGACACCTGCAGCACCTTTGTCAACTCAGTCGGTGTTTGAGCAGTCGAAATCGAAAAGAAAGAGGAAGAGGAAGGCACAGATAGGGGGAGGGCACACAGTTCTTATCAGACCAGCATCAGACCAGCACGGATATATATCAAATTCACCAAAGGAAAACCACTGTATGTTCATCTTTGCATATCATCAAATAAACCATCTACTAAACAGCAAGTATATGGAGTGTAAATTCTGTTCACTCCTGCTCCACCTGTGCAGTAACAGCAATTAAAGGACATTAGGATGTTGAAAAATTGCCACTACAGAAGGGTTGATATATTTAGGCTGAAAAAGGGGGAAATCTACAAACATGATTTTGGCTTTTAGTATCAAATCAAGTTTATTAAAATCACACTTTTTGAAACAACCGTTCAACCTTTCTAAACATTATTTTTTCAGATTTATCCCACACACAGACACTCCTCTGTGCTGTGCCCTCCCCTGAACCCGCCCATGCGCTCTGATCTGCAACTGTCAGCCCGGAATAGAAAGTGAAAGTGTTTATGTGAAATGAAAACAGATTTCTGTGTCGCAAGAGTAAGTAGCTTTAGTAAAACTGTATACCGTTAAATTAAAAACTCAAGTTTGCTGATTATTGCTTCTTGGTTAATCTGCCTTTTTGCTCTTGTTACAGTGTATTTTTCTCACGTGATGGTAAGTGTGTTGAATCAATCTGAGCTACAGAAAGCTGCTCGACAGGGAGTGTGTTAAAGGTTTTGCTTGATCTGTGATTGTGTTGTTTGTAGGAAAGTGAAGAGGTGACAGACTTTGTGCAGGAGACTCCAGGTCTGTACAGCATGACATGTTTAAACTCCTGCTACAGTAATAGTGTCACTAATTACATGTTTTTAGTCTTTTAGCTGATTCTCTCTCATTTAGTCTGACATCATCACATATTGTTATATTTCACAGTCAGTGGGAAGTATTACGGGTGGCAGCTGCTCGTTGGTCATCAGTGGCTGCCAATAGAAAACGACCACGTCATCGAGACCCACTACTGCCAACCTGGAGCCAAAGGGATCACCATCAACACAAACCACGGGTCAGTGAGTGTTCTGGTTTTATCCTCCTAATCTTAAGGAACTTAGAGTTGGTGCTTAACTTTCCCTGAAAAGGATTCATTTGTCTGACAATCATCAACAATGTAGTTCTTATGTGGAAGTAGATGAATGACAAAATATCACACACACCTGGAGACTTACAGTATACAACAGAAGCCAATACACTCTTGTGCAACATCACACTTTTTTGTATCACCTCTCAATAATTGTATTATAATCCAAGTTGACAAGTAGATCATTTGCTGTGATGTAAAGTTAAAAATCAACAGTTTAAATTTACTATATATGACTTCTCCCTCTACAGTAGGAACTAAATGCAGCCAAAGTCAGTTTTATTTGAATGAAATTCAGATCATTTGTACAAAACTTGTTGTGTCCATTTTGTAAGACTCAATCCTCAGCGTGGAGGATATCAGTGTGCAACACATTTCTGGAGAGATGCTCTGTCATATTTTTGGGGCTGTTTTTCTGCTGCTCTTTGCTGGAGGGTTGTGTTGCTCTACCTTTCCCTTCAGTTTACCTCAAAGATGTATTATTAGGTTCAACACACTTGACCAGGTCGTAGAGTGTTCTGGATGGTTTGCATGTTGGACTATTCCTCTTGTGTTAAGCTTTTGCAGACTGGAGTCGTCTAGTCAGCCAGTATGTACTTAGACATTCATGGTGGCATCTCTAAACGTCATCTGCCCAACACTTCTACACTCATGCAGCCTCCTATCATCACCCTTCTACCTCCATGCTTCACTATCAGGACCATGCATTCATTGTGGTAGTTGTGTAAACATGCTACATCAGATCTGAGCTAAAGAAATTTATCTTGACCTCATCTGACCAAAGAATGTGCTCCCAATATTTATCACTGTTCTTTCCATACATTTTAGAAGGTTTAATCTGGCAGCTTAGAGCCGAAGAGCAAGCAATGGGTTTTTTTGGGGGGAGGAGTTTTCTTGGTTGCTGTATAAAACTACAACTAAAGCTGTTGAGACAATGACAATGTTAGGATGATAACAACCGATAAATACACTACCCCAATAATCTTTCAACAGAGCATCTGTTAAACTGACGTATTTGTGTTTCCCCAGGCAGGTGTTCATAGACTTTGATCAGTTACAGACCACTGATGCAGCTCTGAGGGTGCAGAGACTGAGCTTCCTGCCTCAGGGCCAGACGGAAGACATCGGCTGGTACTTCAGAGACGACCAGCTGTGGCGTGAATATGGAACCCAGGTGAGGAAATGAATGAAATTACAGATCCCTTTGTGCTTCTCACAAAAAAAGAAAGTGAATGAATAAAGAATCAAGTAATAAAAGTATTTTCATGGTGGACTGTGGAGGAAGACATCAGTCATCTCCGGGCCCTATACTGGTTTATGATGTTTTCCAATAAGGATGTTTATTGCTTATCTGTTCCGTTAACTAGAACTTGGGGGTTTTAGCCTCCTTAAGTTTACTTAACAAGTGCGTCTTCTTAGTTTTGTTGAGCAGGAGGTTGTTTTCTGATCAACACATTGCATTCCCTTTAGTCAATCTGATTTTCAGTGTTCTCACTCCCTGGATGTCTCATCTCTTCCGGGTTTTTCAGGGTTCTGCCATGTTGTCCTCATCAATCAGCAGCAGAGATGTTGAACTTACGTTCAGTGTAAACCCTCAGGGAACCTTCAATTTCACAGTGGGCTCTACGGGATACTCACTTGACTTCTCTAGTATGTGGTATTTAATTTGAATTGTGTGTATGAGCTTGTTAATTTCACATTATTTCTCCATGCGGCTGAATCTAACTGATGGTCTTTACTTTGCAGCCATGACCCAAACAAACCTCATCACTGGCTTGAGCAGGAACGTACGCAGACGTCCAAAACTACTCGCTTCCAACACAGAGAGGTAAGACTGTTTCTTCTTCTTCCCTCGAGCAAATGTTTTCATGTGAAGCAAATACTCTTTAGTCTTTTGAAAACACGAAGACGAAGCCTCAGTTTGATACAGAAATCTTTATAGAACCTCCTTTAGAGAAATATTTTTTTCCTCCAGAAGCTTGCATGAGTTGGTTTCATGTCCACGTTTGATGTGTCTGCAGCCTTCACTCCACACCGGTCCTGCCCACAGCCTCCTCCTCCTCCCAGCTCACTGATGGAGGCTACAAGTGGGAGTTCATGGGAAATGAGGGAGTCTGGACAGAATACCAAGCACATGTAAGTAGGTCACCCACTGATTTCATGTCGGTTTAGCCAAAGCTTGAGAATTAAAACCTATCAAAAGCATATGCTAATAGTTTCACTTTCAGCGAGAAACTTTACCATGTTTGGGTGTTTACTGGTGTGTTTTAAAGAGATATTTAACTTTCACTATTTAGGTTTTTCCAGGTAAACAATCAGAAAGAGTTAGTAGTGCCATCTAGTGGTCACACTGAAAATACCCCAAAGATTAATCCTTTCAAACAAATTCAATGTAAATTTTCAACTTTCACTTAACTCATGTTCATTACATGCACTTTGTTATTGTGGATTTTTGAGTTAGTAGAAGATTATTTGAACTCCAAAGGGGGTCAAATTAAAGATAAAACTCAACATTTTAAACAACAATTTTGTTTTGTACAATTTTTAGAGTGGGGGAGCATCATACAAAAGTTTGGGCACCAGCACATTTGAGCTCCTTTATCAAGATCTCACACTTCAATTAGCTTGTCAGGGCTGTGGCTTGTTCACAATCATCATTAGGAAAGGCCAGGTGATGCAAATTTCAAATCAAATACTCCTCAACGCTTGAGCTGCACATTAAAATGTCCCCCAAAGCAAGAGAGGCTTTAAGAAGATAAGGAAATGGTTTTCAGGTAGCCATTTCCTCAGTGAAAATGTAATTAAGAAATGGCAGTCAACAGGAACAGTGGAGGGAAAGTTAAGGTCTGCAAGACCAAGAGAAGTTTCTTAGAGAACTGCCTGTATAGTTTAAACTCTTGTTTGACCGTGCAGTGACACCTCCACAAATATGACTGTCATGGGTCATCAGAAGAAAACTTTCCCAGCATCCTTTTCTGTGTCAGAGGATTGCAAATAAACATCTGAGCAAGTCTGATGCTTTTTTGGGAACACTCAGAGGACAAGAGTGGACTGGAGCACACTGACGAATCACAGCCTGTAAATTGTGCAAACAGACGATTGTTACATCCTTATTGTGTCCTCATCAGAATCAAGCTGGACGGAGCAGACATCGTCAACCTGAACCAGATGTACACATTTTCATTGGATAATTAGTTGAACAGGATTTCATACTTATTGGATGATATCTCCAGGGGTGGGAGTCGCCGTAGTCAGACCATGTCAGAAACGTAAACCTCTCCAACAGACAAACGTACAGAAAGTACCAGAACAAACATCTGCCAAATGGCCCAACCTTAAAGAACACAGACGTCCTTGAAAGTTCCAGATATAAACCACTGTGCAAAGTTGATGACTTCACCAGCTCTGGGAGAGGAGAGGGGCTTTTCTGTTGCCCTGAACATTTCTAGTGCTGCAGGGCCGTGGTTAGTCTGAGCACAATGCATTTTGGAAACAAGTCGTGTAAACTGATGAAGACAAAGCAGAACTTCTTGGCTGCATGGAGAAATAGTGTGTACGTATAAAAAAGAAAAGGGTGCAGAATTTTATGAAGCAAATGGCTCTACAGCTGTTAAGCTCAGCGGTGAATCCATCATGCTTTAGGCTTGTTTTGCAGCCAGTGACAGGGAATGTTTCACAAGTAGAGGGAAAATGGAATAAATGAATTAGCTGAAAGTCTTGCCACAGCTCTCACAGGACCTCAAAAGAGCAGCAGGTGCAATAATCTTGCAGAACATGAAGCCTTTTGGAGGAAGAATAGGCAAAAATATGCAGCTTTCATTGGCTACAAGAAGCATTTTCAAGCTGTGAAACTTGCCAAATGAGGTGATAATAAGCACTGACCTTGCACACATCTTTGCTTCAGGACCTTTTCCATTTTTCTTTTAAAACTTAAAAAGTATTATTGCCTGAAATATAAGAGAAAAGTTTAATCTTGCCTTTCGGAAATCAGGTTATTTTCTTCTTAGTTACAGAAACCTAATGATGGTGCTTCGTTTATATGTTTTAACTCAGAATCTCATTCCTCTGTAAGCTGATTTATTTGTTCTTGCTTGTGTGTTTGCAGATATGTTCCTTCGACAGCGCTGCTATTGAGACACAATACCAGCTGAACCCTCAGGGCCAGCTGCCCTTCAGGATCAGCATCCACTCGTATACGCTGGATTTTTCAAGTAATGTGCACACATAATGCACAACTACCCAGCCACCCTCATGTTAAACCAAACACTTAATGTTGTTGTTGTTGATTACCACTGAAACATTGTCTGCACTGGTTTATCGTAGCAATGTGTCAAGTCAACAACCTTTTTGGGACCGCAAGGGCAGTGAGGAGGACTGTCAACTCTGGGATTCAACAGAAGAGCAGGTCTGGAGAAACATTTGGTTTGGTGGCCAGATATCCTCTCCTTTGTCTTATCATTGTAAAAGCTCACAAACCTGTTTAATACACCTTCATTCAAACCCCCCTTTTAATTAGCAAATTAAGTATCAACACCATGATTTGAATTTGCTTCAACACTTGAGTAGATTTTAAGGGCCACACTTCACCCAGACAGATGCTTTTAATAGTAATATTTACCTAACATTCCATCCAATATTTTATTTCTGTCTCATGCACACCAGCTCTGCAGAATTTATGTTAAAATTTAAAAAGTACACCTGCTGTGCATGTTGTCATCTTTGCATCTTCTGCTCTTTAGTTCAGGCACGTCGCCACGATGGCAGTTCCAAGATATCAGCGGGATCTGGACAGAATATTCCAAAGTAAGACACAACTTTCTTTTGTTGTTGTGTGAATAGTGATGGAAAAAAATATCATGTGGATTAATGAATAAGATAGTCACAACACTAAAGGTCTACAAGTCTACATTACTGAAGCTGATAGAAGTATTAGTTTTGCAGGTATTTGGTCTTAAAGAGAAGTGTCTGGAAAATCGGGAAGAAGAATCATCAGAGTCATTATGAATCATCCTCTTGGGACAATGAATGCTCTCATAAAACTGTATGTCTACTCATGTGTTGGACTGATCGACAGCTGAAATATGCCATCCTAAGATTGACTAAAAAAACACTAATATAGGAATCTTCAGATGTTGGGAGCTAACCAGAGTTTAACATCTTGTGTGTATGCAGGGACTCAGTCAGTGCAACGTTTCCAGTCAGGACATCGAGCTCCTGTACCAACAGAACCCATCAGGCACCATGTTATTTACAACCAAGAAATTCAGCTATGAGCTGAACTTCTCAGGTAAGCCGGGCAATAAGTCTTTCTCCCACACTGTGTCCGATTTCTCATTGGTATCAGTGCAGGTAGATTAGGATCACTCGGTATGTTCAGTCCGGACTGATTGTGTCTTTTGCAGCCATGACTCAGAGGAACCTGTTGACAAACACCACCAGATCAGTGAGGCGACTTGATCAGTGACTGAGACCGATTTGGAGGTCCTGGATGATCCTATCAGTTGCTGCACATCACTGCCTGCCTGCCTCAGGTCGTTTCTCATGTCGGAAAGAGCCCGAACTGTTTCCACAAGCTGCCTCAACTCTGATGTTTGATGATTGTACAGGACAGTTATTTAAACAGTTCACATAAAGTGTGAGGGAATAATCTTTCTGTCAACAGGGCTTGTCTATAACGCACTTTGCCTTCAAAGGTTGATGACGCTTTTTGTCCTTAATTAAAAAAACAAAATGTTTAACAAGGTATTGTATCTCACTTGCATTGAGTTATGTTTTCTTTTATTATGGTAGGATTTAGGTTTAGTTTAGGCCATGAAATTACATTAGGTTTAGTCCTTTAATTTAAAAACAAAGATCATGTTTACCAGTGTTTAATAGAACCCTGTCTTATCCTGTGTTTTAGTAGATCTTAACCTGTTGATGAAATCTGCCTTGTATTTAATGCATTTTTAAAATGTTTTTACTGTTTACAGCTTAATAAAGTGCCTTTTTATCCCCCGTTGACTTTGATGTTTGATGTATTGCTGCCTATTAAATTGTGCATGTAAATACTAAAAGGTTCATTAATACTCTCTTGTAATCAGAGCTCTTTGGCTTGTTTTTTTTTCTATTTTACTTACACTCCAGAATTCTAGCAGTGTTTGAAGGCCACGACACAAATGACAACCACCATTTGAGAATATTAGATTGTGTACTTTCCTTTATATGTACAGATTTTCATTGAACCACCTCAGAGACCAGCACCTTGACACATAAAACAAAGCCCACACTACACATACATGACAGCAGTAGTATACAAATGATCTTGTAGAAGAATAAGCTTTAGTTTTCTGCTTTGGGGTTCTGCCAGAATATGTGACACACACTCCAAAGAACACATCCAGTTTGTGATGAATTTAAAACATGTCGGTCCACAGATGGAAAAACATCCACTCACTGACACATCTGTAGTCTTGTATGTAAAAAAAAAAAATGGGGAAATGAACCCGATGAGTCACACGGATGAGTGAGTAACACTGCCATGTGGCCGGACAGAAAGCGCACCTTGTGTTGGTGGCTTTTTTTTTTTGTACAAAAACAAAAAGTAATGCGATAAAAGACATTACGATTCAGCAACAATCATCTTAAGCAGAAACACAGTGTGACCAAGGTGCATCTAAAAACCCTAAAATGGTGTGATACTCTTCAGAAATGTAAGATTTAGAATGAGCACACGTGAATGTTTAGAAAATCTGACAGACCTGTGAAGTTATCATCGGTGAAAAGAGTTTTAGTTAAGGGCACATCGAAAGCTGTTTGAGTCAATCAATATGCACCCTCAACAACCAAAAAAGGATTATTGCACACGACTCATCTAAGGCCTCTTACCCATCATCACGAGAACATAAAAATGCCAAGGCCCTCACAGAGCGATCCGCTTTTAAATAACTATATATTTACACTTCATATTATGTCACCAGCACAGGTCCTCTGACAGCTGCAAAGTGCTGAAATATATAGTAATAATCTTCATTGAATGAACTGAACCGGAGGATTCTGAGACCCTTAAATATCTCATGAGAGAAGATGTGTGAAGTAAAACGTCATTGGTCACTAGAATAATTAGGAATCATCGTAAGAAAAGATGCTAATCAAACTTCAGATCTTTTGTGGTCGAGGTCAGTAACATGCGACAAAGCAAAGTCATCAAGGAAACTAAAGCCAGACAGCTCATTAAGGGGGAAAATATTAATACTTGAGAAACAGATTAGTGCTGCCTAGTTTTCCACATGTACCCTTGTAAGGCACAAAAGCAAAAGCAGTGCATATGCTCCTTGCCTTTAGCATTAGCATCTCGTTAAAAGGGCACTGCTGTGGTTAGCTACTCCACACATCATACTCCGCTATCAGCTGACACAGACAAAGTCATTCATACTGCATTTACAGAAACTGATACGTCGTTTGTTAGCAAAGGAGGTGAAATGGTCGACAAACTCTGACGAGACAAAACTAACGTCTTCCTTTTTAACAAGCTTGCTTAGATGTCAAATTAAAAGCTTGGAAGGAAAAAAAAAAGCAAGCTTTGCCACATGATCAAAGAGGGAGACCAAAGGGGTAAAATGAAGCTCAAAGCCCAATTTGTGTTCACAAAATTGAGGTTAGCCATGCTGCAGAGAAATGGTTACCATGGAGATGGACTGCAGAGGGGCTACTTGGTTTGCCCCGATGGGCTGACAATTTTCTACAGCCCCTTTCAGAGGAGCCTCCTGGATGCAGATCAGTGACTGCAGGCTTGTCAGAGCTTCACTTCAAGCTACCTCCCACTGGACTCAGACATTTTGGTGGATGTTTTATTTGTTTCTAAGCCAACCCTCTGATCACTTTAGACATGCTGCAAATCCTAAAATAGTGTCGGAAAGCAATGAAGGTGCAGAAGCCTGAAGCTGAGCAGATGTGAAGCGCTTTTTTTTGTCATTTTTCGGTGATGATTCTGATGCAACTTGTTCAGGAAGTGAAATACACTGCATCCACTCAGTCACTCATGATATGAACAGAAAACCTTCCTGAATAAACTGAGTTGGAATTCATCGCAACCCATGACATTTGGACTCCCAAGAATGTCAAGTACAAAACAGTAGGAAACCCCCAGCATTTAAAGACCACAGCGTAGAAGAAGAAGCAGTTCCCACCCCAACCTTTTGTCCTTCTGGTCAAGTAGAAATGGAATTCAGGTGCAGGTTAATTTGCCAGCAGAATGTGAGTAAGAGTCAGAATTTAAACCAGGTCAGATTAAAAATACAAACAGCAAGACCTCTGAAAGGACTTAAAATCTTCACATTCGCTTGGTGTCTTGTGTGAGAATTCAAGACTCTTCTGTCCACGGTCATTTAAAGAATAACCTGGCTTCTTTTTGTTCAAGTCCCGTTTAGCCAAATAAGTCTTTCAGATCATTGTTGACAGATGCACTATGTTTAACCCCACTTGGGTTCATGCTAGGGGCAGCAGCTGGTTGAGAAAAGTTCTGCGGGCTGAAGAATGGGTTTGCTTGCATCCCAAACCCACTGGGCACCCCTCCCATACCTACTGGCACACCCTGCATCTGAGTCTGAGGGTTCTGGGCTGAACCATACTGACTGAGCCAGGGGCTGTTGGCTCCAGGTGGCGGCTTGGGACCCATTTGGTTGAGGGTGACTTTGGGTTTGTTGGGAGTAAAAAGATTGTCCAAGGCTGACATGTCGGGAGCTTTACTCCCAGGTGGTCCTTGATTCTGCGTGAGAGCTCCAAAGTTAGGGGTGCTGGTGGTGGTGGCCATCCCACCATAAAGGCCTGGACCTGTGGGCCGCATGCCCATCCCCATGCCTCCTGCCTGGAAGCCCATGGGTGTGTTGAAGCCATTAGAGACTGGGGCCCCCATGGAGCCGACCATTGGGCTGGAGGAGGGGAAGGCGGGCATGGTGGTGCCCTGAACCGGGGCTGGTCGTGGTGTGTTGGCCAAGGGCATGCTGGATAGAGATGTCATGTTGCTGAGTAGACTGCTTGTCAGGTCCTTAGTCTGCAACATAAAAAGACATGTATTATCTGAGCCGTTAGTATCTGAGCATGAATGTTCGCTCGTGCTTACAGATATTTTCAACTTTTACCTGTGCGTTGGCGCTGGTGGCTGGTTTGATCGTCTGTGGTGCTAAAGGCTGCTGGTTCCTCAGTTTGACTGCCTGCTCCTGCTCCTTAGCCAATCGCTGTTTCTCCTCCAGAGTGAGAGACATCTAGAGCCGAGCAGAAGAAGAGACATCATATACAAACTAGATGGCATGCCAAATTAATGTGCAAATGAAGTGTGACATTGTTTGCATACCCTATTAGGCTGTGAGGTTGATGCTGCAGATCCATTTTCTTTCCCATTAACCCCTGTGCTGCCAAAGATGTCGTCAATCTGGAAGTAAAAAAAAAACAGACTGAAATCCCTGCAGTGAAAGTGGTAACATTTACAGCCTTTTTCAGGCTCTTTAAAAGCATTTAAAAAATAGTTATTGTACAGTGAATATATTTGTGTTCTTAGATCTGTGGGTCAAGGAATGGACCTCTCACCTGGTTGCCAGAACTAGACGGGCTCTTGATCTCCTCTGATTGGCTCCCTGGATTTGATATGTTTATACTCCTGTTAAAAGAGACAACAGAGATCAAAATCAATAACTGGAAAGAATCTGAACACGGCTGGCTCGTCATAGCATTATCATCCTGGTGTGGATGGTATCGACTGTTCATGGCTCATTTTCCATTAGAGATAAGAATTACCTCTGACATCCTACTTAATTTGTATTAAAAATTCCAATGAATATTTATGACTATCTGATTAAAAAATCCAAGCGAATAAAAATGAGTCTATTGCACAGGGTGAAATAAATGAAGACGGACACCTCTGCTGTTCTTGCATCACGTGCAGCTGCTCCAGCTTGGTCTTGTGTTCGGCCTCCATGCGGCTCAGCATGTCACGGATAACCACCATGAAGGAGTTAAACTGAAACACGGAATACATCAGTTAAGAAAAATAATCAGATTGAAGCATATAATGTAAAATGTGTTAGTGGAAAACTCAATCAAGTAAATTAACATGTGTTTTTACAGATTACGATCTAAATGAAATATATGCTTGTGTTGGGCTGTGCAGCACCTGGTTCAGATTGAGGTTGTTGTCTATACTCAGAGAGACGAGGTGGGGTAAGCTCTTGGAGGCAAGGTGCTCTTTGGGGATGCCCAGCTTCTTGTGGCTGAAGGTACACTTATAGATTCCTAAAGGAAGGAGAAAAAAAAAAGTAAAAAAAAAAAAAAAACAGTCTTTAAGTAAACTGAGACATTACTTATTACTGAGTCAACCATATGTGGAGAGGCTCTGATTTGTTTACCTAAAATGCCCATGAGGACTGCTGGTTCTCTCGAGGGGATCTGTTGCAGGAAGGGCAGGATCTCATCAATGACAAACCACTTGTCAAGATATTCCAAAATCTTCCCCAGACACACCAGAGAGTTCACTCGCACCTACAAAATAACAGAAGTGACAGAAAATTATAGTATTACAACAGTAACCTTTAGAAAGACAGGCGTAGGCGTTCAGGTTGTAGTTAATAGAGGTGAAAGTAGGAAGTACCACAGAAGGACAAAGGCAAAGTAAATACATATCAAATATGACAGACATCTGAAAGATATCATTTTTGAGGAGGCACACAATTGAAAGCGACAAGCTGAGAGCATAAAATAACAGCTGAGGACTTACAGCAAGTGAAGAGGTCTGTAGGCAGGCTGATTTAATTCGAGGGATGAGGGAGTTCTTCATGGATGGGTAGTCAATCAGGTTGGCAAACGTTGGGATGATATTCAGGCACAGCTCCTGCTCAGCCACAGATAAGATGTAATGAAATATGACATTTTTATGATGCCGAGAACATCATCTGTTCGTACTGTGCTCCTAAGATAACGCTACAAAAAGAGAACTAAGAGTACCAGTAGGTGAAAAAGCAAATGTTCCAAGGTTGTTCAAGCGGAATACTAAAAATATACACCAATGAAGCAAAAACTGGCAGGTATTCCCACAGTGTTTGTACTTCAGGCGGGGGGTGTCTAAAGCAATAAAGCGACCAGAAATATCTTAAAGGCCAGAAAATGTTTCTGAAACAGCATCCGGCATTTTCACAAAACAAGCATACAGTAGCTCCTTTAGTCACTTCTCTGGTTTCTATGGTTTACAACTGACTATGCAGCCCAAAAACCTTTTCTTCTGTACCTGGATCTGTACTGAAGGTGCTTCCAGAGCTCTGTAAACCATGGGCAGCACACTGTTCTTAATGTCCTCCGCTGGTGTTTTGGTCAGCAGCAGGTCCATCTTTTGCAGGAATATCAGCAGGATCTGTACCGCACAAACACACAGTTAGGGAAACAAGAGTCAAAAGCAAGACAACACTAGCCTATCTTCAACTGAGGGGCACGGTTGTAAGTGGAAGTGAGCGGAAACTGTGATGTCAGTGGCTTTAGTGCAGTTTTTAGTACGACTAACACAACACACGGACTAGCTGATGTGGCTGGTGCATATTCACATCAAAGAGACCACTCACCATGTTACTAGCCTGCAGAAGCATGGAAAGAAACATACAGAGAGAAGTCTTCATAAAGCTACATACCGCATCAAAACCAGCATGCTCTTTAGTTAGGTGATATTTAACTGCTCAATATCAGTTTCAAATTTCAAACACATCAACACCCCAATAATCATGCATATGCTTTTAGAGAAAAAACACTTTTCAGGGGATTTTTTAAAAGAACAAACCGCATTATGTGAAGCTATATATGCTGAGAGAAAAATGTGCCTAGATTACAACAGTTCTATCTACCTGAACAGGCTCCTGCTGCTTGAAAACAGGTGTGAGGTCAGGCAGGATGAGGCGAACATACTCCTCCTTGGTGCACTCCTCAGCAATCAGCAGCACATTGGGCAGCACAAAGGGAACCATGTCTGGGTTGACAAACTCAGAGGTCAACGCAGGCAAGATTCGGTACACCACCACTCTCTGTGAAGAAAGAAACGGCAAAGTATGACTTCAACCTATAATACTGCTACAAATTAGTATGTGTTCATTGAGAGCACTCTCACCGAAGTGCAAAAAAACTGTAAACTAACCAGGAAACAGGCTGCTTAGCTGATCCCTTGTCTCCGATTTACACTGCAGTTGCTAAGCAAGTATTTACCTTTGGTAATTTGGGCAGTACTTTAGGGAGGCCTTTGTAGAACTGGGATTTCTGTAGGTTGTCCCTCTGGAAGAGGGAGTCAAAGTACTGTAGGGTCACTGCACCAACATCATCAAAAAATGGAATCTGTAATGAAGAGACAACAAATATGAAATCTGCCGTTAAAGGAGTCAGACATTAACAACAAGCTTATACTATGAAAATATGCAGTAAGAGATAACAGATTTTGTTTTTGCATGTATTCATGAAGCAAACCTTAGTCATCTGGTCGGCGTCAGGCCGGACATTGGGAGTGACACTGAGCAGCATTTTGACGTGCTCCCGCACCTCCTCGGGGATCTTGTTCAGCACTGCTGGACTCATGCTGCTCAGCTACAATTGAACAGAGTTGAAAGAAATGAATAAACCACAGAAGAAGAGTAAAACCTGTGTTTCACTGGTAATAGCAACACACGGCTAAACTGCACAGACTTGATAGTTCTGCTATAGCTGTGATCTGCTGCATGACTTCATCTTGATTAGTTTAAAACAGCTGATTCTGGAGTCCAGTCAGGATTGTTGCGGTTGTTTTTCTGTGTCACTACTCAAATCAAATCTAGATAATAAAAACATCTGCCTGTACTATTGGCTGATAAATGACTCAGATCGTAACAGATAATAGTAGTTGCCAGAGAGAGGATCATGAAAAACAAAAAAACAAAAAACAGTTTGGGTACAACAATAATTTTCTCAGCTTCATGGTCCTGTACTGTAACAGTATTCACCCAAGATCAGAATGTCAGAAAATCAGAATGTTATTCATCTGAAGTGACACTTTAAAAGAGTTCATGAAGCACAACTGTTCACATGTTCTGAAAGATTTATGATCCAGTCAGTCTATTCAGTCATGAGCTTCCACATATGGCCCACCTCCACTCACCTGGTCCAGCTGCCTGCTGAAGCTCTTAAAAATATCGTGCTTGTTGACTTGGAAAACAGGCTTGCCCTCGTTGAAGACAGCATGCATGACCACACCCAGAGAGTACATGTCGGAGGCAGAGTCACAGCTGACGGATAGTATGTACTCAGGTGCCAGGTACTCAGGGTTTGGGAGGCAGAGTGGCGGGAGGTTGGGCTCCCACTCTTTACATGTGTACTTGGGCTAAAGAGGATGAGAGAGCATGGGAATGTAAAGATGTGAAAATTCTGCCAGACGTTATTTCGGTAGAGCCTCTTGAAGGCAGCAGGCTGGGATTAAAGCCATGTTGACAGGCTGAACAGAAGGAACAAAAACCCTCTGCATACCTCTGCATCTGAGGGGTTGTTGGAGGAGATGCTGAAGTCAAAGCCCATGATCTTCCACGCTCCGCTCTTGTTGAGGATGATGTTTTCTAGACACAGGTTTCCATGGACCATTTTCACCCCACTGTGTAGAAAGGACAAACCCTCGGAGATCTAAAGAGATAAGAAACACAAATACAAATCATTGCCTGCATTAAACTGCAAACACTTTGGTACTAAACTCACCAAATCAGGATAAGAGCCCTGTATCTAGGACATAGCAATCCCTTACTTATTTCACACTAAAGCGCCAACACAAGATACACTGGGTCGGCACACATCATCACACAATATGACTGACATGCCTCAACTTTTAAATGAAAGGCTGAGCATGATTCTGTACTGCTGCAATATAAGTAATATAACAGCAGCTCTTGGCTTAACATTGCAGGCATTTTCTAGGCCTCTCAGCCATGAACTCCCTCCATTAAATAACTTAAAAGGAAACAGTAAGATAAGAGAAATGAAAACCAGTGAGCATGAAAGTGACAAAAAAAGAAGGGAAGCAGAAAAAAATGGCAGAAAGTTAATTGATATTACAGCCACTCAAATAATATAATACTGAAATGAGGAAAGCGAGGTTTGGAATGAACTGGTTCAACTGGTTTTGAGAAGAAACAGCGTTTGAATGCATAGTGGTTTCCTAGGAGTACTACATATTACCGAACCCTGCAAGAAGATTTAGATGGTTCCAAATGAAGACCAATGGTTCTCATGCAGTATGTTTTTGTCACAGATGTGGAAGGCGATCGATGCGATAACAGGACAAGCCAAAGAGTCAAAAGTAGGATTAATGCTTTATGCATCACGTTTACACAGGTGGATGGTTTACAAGTACAAAATGCACACATGTAACACTCAATTTTAGCTTAGAGGTTCTTAATTTTTATTATATCCTAAATGAATGTTGTGTAGCTACCATGGTTAACTAAGCACAATTCATTCTTGAAGCACATCAAGCTAGAGTTTATTGATTAGTTGAGTGACAGAAGATTGTTGAGCAACAATTCTGATAACTGGATGCACATTTTTGTATTGTTTTAAGAGAAAATGCCAAAAATCTCCTGATTGCAGCTTTTAAACATGAGGCAACCAAAATGTCCCGCTATTGTGGTGTTTACATAAATGTTTATAAAAATGCGACAATGCGACATTTTATAGACCACATAAATATTCAAGAAAGTAATTATTTGAATATCAATGATGAAACGAATCCTGAGTTGCAGCCCTACAACAAGGAATCTCATCTGTATGCACTCTCACCTGTAACAAGCCATACTTGGTCTCCACATCATAGAGTTTATACTCCTTGATGTCGTTGGGCACCGGGCTGGGCAGGTTGTCCCACTGGCCCAGCACATTGGACAGACTGGCAAACACTGGCTCTGTGCAGAATGCTAAGCAGTCTCTGAGGGCCACATAGAGAAATAAGAGCAGGAAAATTTAGAAACAGCTACCTTTTGAAATGTAGTGTTATTCTTGTGCAAACATTAAAGAAAAGACAAATAAAATATTTTGAATTTAGAGCTTTCCTGGGTCAAAGTTTTAAAAAAAACTGTGGTACAAAGAAAGCACAAGACAGCCTCAATCTTCATTTGCCCTTCTTTTGATCATGACAAGCTGCTGTTCTCATACGTACACACACACACAAGCAGACAAATAGATCTGTTTTGCAATTTCCTTCCTCAAATGTCAATCCCCTGTTTGAGCTGTGAGTCATTCAGTTTATTTTCAATGTACATACTTCTGAGTCTGTGTAAATGCATGTGTGTTTGTTTGCATGTGTGTTGATTACCGTGACTCTTCCAGAGGATGCTGTACAGTCAGGAGACGGGGGTGACGCAGTCTGGTCAGCTGCTGCACCCCTTTTTTCAGTGAATCAATGATTTGGTCCTTATCAAATTTCTGATACTTGTCAATCATCTTCTTATCAAACACAAACACTGCCACTTCCTGAAGGGTCACAGACAAACAACAAGGTGCTGAAATTAGCATTGTTCAGTCCCAGAGCTATTCCTGTTGCAGACAGTCTTTAGCTGAGTAAATCATTCATCCATTCAAATGCAGTCTAAACTTGTATGACAGGACAGGGTCTGGTAGGATATTAACACACGCACCTGTTTTGTGGACTTCTTGGTGCCATTATAGATCCTCCAGCACAAGCCAGGCCCTCCACTTGCAATATGTCGCCCAACCTCAAACTCCCGTGTCACCGGGTTACCCATGACGGCGCTGGTGACATCTGCTGTCACCTTGGTGACAGTGCTTTTTAGTTTGTTCAGCATGGACTCCATGTTCAGGCTTGACCTGGCTGCTGAGGTGAGACATCCATGATTATCCCCAAGAACAGATTAGCAATTCAAGGAATATACAGAGGCAGACCGCAGTCAGTCAAACGTGGAAACACAATAGTTTTCACAATCAGAGAAAGAGACAGTTGTACGCTCCTAGCAAAGCAAAACCCTTCAACAATCCATTAGACATGCACTCTTATGCACCTGCTTGAAAATTTGCACATCAAAGTGCCCACCGGCGTCCTGCCTGTGTGCTGAGGAGAATAAGCACCATAACTGTCCAAGCTGTCCCCAGAAATATAAAATGACTCAGAACAAACTCAGTCACGCCACATTAGTGCTCTCTTTCAAAATACCTCAGTGTCTTAAAAGCATGTTAGGCAACAATACGCCAGACAAAAGAATATGAGTTTTGTGTGAACAGTCTCTTAAGGGTTTTATCTGTCTTGAGTGGGCTTCAAGTCTTTTGATGTTTAGGTTGAATAAGCTTCTGGCAAATAACAGTCGTGTACATTGCCATGCATACGGCAGACTTTTCATAATTCTTTACAGAATCCAGCATAAAAAATGTTAAGCATCAGCATAAATGGGTCAAAGCACACTGACTCATCATTATGCATTGTTAGGACTGGCCAATATTAACCCAAACCAAAAATGCTGGCATGAATATGAAACAGCAGCACCACTTTGTGCTGTCAAACTCCATTTCACCCAATCCCAATCTGGTTCTTGTGGTTTTAAAATTCTATTTAAGAGCCAAAACCAAAAACAGCAAACTCTCATTTAAAGATGTGGAAATGATCGGAGACATACTGCAAGACAATCAGCTCTGAACCGTCAACATCAGGGCACATCTCACTCTGTCACTGCTCATGATTTACTTTATGTCTGGATGATGACATATTTCTCCTGGCATGCGGCTGTTTTTACTGGCAACAGGTTTTAACAATGTAGATGCTAAAGAATAACGTCAATGTAATTACGTTCCCATTCAGTTCACTTCACAGACACTAATACGTGTCCATATCAGTTCCTGGGTACCGGCCAGACAAACACTGAGAGAGTTGGTTGTAGACAGACAGCTCAGTAAAACCCACCTGCACAGACACTACCTAGCTTAGCACCGACGTTCGCACGTTAGCCGTCAGATCCCACAGAGCTTAACAATAACAGGTTCCTAACTTTCGTATGATCGGAGAAGCGATTCATGCGACAAGATCAAACCACATATAGCCATCAGGTTTACACGTTAGGTTGTATATTCGTCGCTTAGCTTGACTGCCATGTCTCTCTGTGAAATACCTTGATGTTAGCCAAGTTAACCGTCTTGTTTAGCCTGTACGCACACGTCAAAACTACACTTGTCACAGGTCCGACGCCGTCGTTAGCAGGTAACAACTAACCTCCTGAAGCCTCTTTTAGCTTCTCATCTGCCCATGTAACTGACAAAACCGTTGCAATACGCTGGCTACCGTAAAAAAGGCTGTTTTACACGGTAGTCACCTACATGGCTAACTAGCCAACAATGCGCAAGTAGACAGTGACGTTACTGTCATTACAGTCTAACACCGACTGTTTCCGTCCAAAGCTGCCACCTCGAAACCCTCCTGCGACTTACCTTCAAGAGAAAAGAGTTCCCCGTTTAATTTCTTGTTGTAAGTGGACTCTCAGCTGTGTCGCTGTCAGTAAAGGCTGTGAAACACAGCCCCCATGTCTTCCAGTGGCATACGAAATCAGTTAGCTTAGCACGCTAGTAAAGGAAAAGCCTACTTCCGGGTTTTTTTTTCTTAACTGAATCAGGTGCATCAACGTCATCCGAGATTTCTTTAACCAAATATTTTAGTCACTTTATAGTGTCTACAAATAAGCATTATATCATTATATAAGCATAGGGGTTATTTAAAGAGCTTTACGTGCAAAGATAAAAAAAATTAAAAATAAAACAAAAAAAAACAAAAAAAAACAGAACAAGGGATAAAATACAGCAGTGTAAATTAATTAAATTTTAAAAACGAGTACTTACAAGTTATAAAAAGTGCACAATTTTTTTGTTTTTTAAAAGTTAAAATTAATAGACTAAAACTTCAGGGAAAAGACAAAATATTAGAAAATTGAAAAAATAGATAAACTACAATTAAATGAATAAAACATGAAAAGCAGAATAAAATACCAGCAGCTTAGACTAGACTTTATAAAATAAAAGCGAATAATTAGAAGCAATTTGGGCCCAGACTATTCAGTGACTTACAGTGCCTTTAAAATTTGAATTACATTGAATTATTGGCAATTTCATTTGGCTTTTTTGATCAGAATTTACACAAAAAAAGAAAAAAAAAACACTTGTCGACTTCAAAGTGAAAACATTTTTATTTGTTTATGTTTTACAAAGAAATGTAAATGAATTAAAAGTATAAAACATGTGATTGCACAAGTATTCACCCCACAGGGATTGTGAGTAAACCAGCCTTTTCAAGTCCAGCTACAAATTTCTCAATTGGATTCATGTCTGAGCTCTGACTCAGCCACTCCTGAACATTCACCTTGTTGTCTTTAAACCATTTCTGTGTATCTTTGGCTGTATGCTGTGTGTTACTGTCTTGCTTTAAAACCAAAGTTCTAGTTGTCTTACCAACTGCATCAGGCTGTCCTCTGGGATTGCCCTATACATTGCTGCGTTCATTTTACCCTCCACCTTTGTAATCCTTCCAAGGCTTGCTGCTGAAAAGCATCCACAAATCATGATGCTGCCACCACCGTGCTTCACAGTGGTGAAAGTGTGTTTGCCAAACATTCCATCTAGTCAAATAGGTCAATTTTGTTCTCTTTTACAGAGCTCCAACCTGCTTCTAATTGCCCTCAGAGTCTCCCACAAGCCTTCTGGTGAACTCTAGTTTAAAATAGATTCAATATGAGCTTTTTCATCAGTGGCTTTTTCTTTGGCACTCTCCTGTACAGCTTTGACAGGGGAAGAACAGTTGTGTCTCTTCCATCTCAGCCGCTGAACTGTGTAGCTCCTTTAGAGGAGTTGTAGGTGTCTTGGTGGCCTTCCTTAATAATGTCTTTGTTGCACAGTCATTCAGTTTTTGAGGACAGCCCGCTCTAAGCATGTCATATTCCTTCTATTTCTTAATAATGGATTTAATGAATTTCAATAACTTTTCAAACAGTTGCTTGGAGTGTTATTTTGTTTTCATGGTGTTTTTACACCAGGACTAATTCACCAGTGACTGGACCTTCCAAATACAGCTGTCTGTAATACTACAATCACTCAAGATTCATTCACTGCACTTACATGATCTCCATTTCACTCATTGTCTTGCTTCTAGAACCAACTGGCTGCTGCTGTGTTGAATTAGAAGAGTCACTTTAAAGGGGGTGAACACTTGTGAAATCACTTATTTACATTACTAATTTTAATTGACTTTGTAAAAATCTGTTTTCACTTTGACGTGTCTTTTAAATAAATTCTTTTTTGCAAACATCACATTAAGTTGCCATGATTTAATGTTGAAAAGCATTAGAAGTGAAAATCTTCCAAGGGGGTTGAATACTTTATAGGCACTGTATAGACAATGAGGCCTTAACTGGACGACAGCGCAGGGATCCAAGAATAAAAGTAATGTATTCTCTGTCCTTGGTGTCTGTCAGTGTTCTAGCAGCAGCAGCATTTTGAATGAGCTGCAAATGTATAATGGCCTTATTAGGAAGGTCACAGTAAGGAATGCGTTACAGTCGTCCATTCGACAAGTAATACAAGCATGTATGAGTTTCTCTAGATCTTGCTTTGACATTGTTTCTCTGTTTTTAAGATGCTAGAATATGGATTAACTTACAGCTTTGACGCTGCTGCTGAATTTTAGATCTTCATCAATGATTACGTCAAGATTCCTTCCTTCATAGCCAAACAGAATTCTCTCACTGTGTTATGTCAGTGCACCCCGTATAAACACATCAAGACCCCTGAAGATCTGTGAGCTCCACTCGGACAGATGCAGTAAAATATTAACAGCAAAGTCTTGTTTCAGAGAACAATTTTTATTAGATGTATTATTAAGTAAAGCATATTTCAGCATCATAAAGTGCATTCTAACATGATTTCAGTGTTTTCAAAGAAAAAGATGCTGACTAAAATGAGATTTGACTGTAAATTACTTCTGCATGACCATTGCTTCACAAAATAAAGAAAATTCATTTAAAAATCCAACTGAGGCATCACGTTTAAAATTAAATTAGTAGCCTAAAATAATATCAAGTCAGAGCACACCTAACTTCCACCTTTTCAAGTCATAACGTCTACATTTCAAGTAAAATTCTAAAAAGTAATAGTTAAAAATGCTTGGGTTACTGCACTAAATGCATTTAAAACCCATAAAATTAAAGCCTACAACATTTACCTGAGCTATGGTTACCTTAATGCATTACTGTAGCCTCTCTGCTTCCATTTCATATTAAAATCTTGTTGAAAAAAACTTTTTATGCTTAGTGTATTAAAGTTATTCGTGTTACATTTAAATTTACTGGTGCTTTTTCTTAAACACAACATGCTCTCACAGCGCCACCAAAATGGCTATAAAATTGTTATTCTTAATTTGATATGTAGAAATATCAACGCCTAATAAAAGTGCACAGGATTACCTCTGAAAAGCACAAAACCATTTTTAAAGCCTAAATCAACCTCACGAAAAAGCTCTTCAGTCGAACACATTAGCTTTATCCAAATACAGTACTTCATTGTAGAAGTACATCAATTAGTACACAAGCTGTTCGATAAATGCTACATCAAAACAGCTGGCTAAAGGCTAAATTGATAAAATTCTGAGTATTTTATTTAAGTAATCCCTTTTACAACCTTTTTGTACAGAATAATTATTTTATAGTAATGCTGGATCTATGCGGGGTTCTATTTAAACATTACTGATCTATGAAACATAAAGTCTGTTAACAATGTAGAAAAACTATTTTAAAAACCTGCATTAGGTGACCTTGGATCAAAGAATTAGAAAGCGCAATTATCATCTTTAAACTAGTGCAAAACCTTGAAATCTACAGTGACTTAATGCCTTTCATAAAAAGGCTCCCAATGCTTCATTGAATTGCAATGTGTATTAGTTAAAAAAGGCATCCATGGCTGTGAGACAGTAGTCACTTCTTCTAAAATCCAGACTTAGCCTCCGATTTACAAATAAAATCCTAACTTTCCCTATTTAGTGTCATAACCATGTCATACTTTCTCTGCATACTACACGTTAAAAGTGTGGCTGTATGCAAGTCATTACTTATGGAAAGACAGTATATCGAACCAGTTAGTCATATGTTTCAGAAAGTGCTGGAGAAATGTTGGAGGAACACCACAGGGTGATGTTTCTCAAACTCTTTGAGCATCCTCCTCTTCTCCTTGACTGGCATGCTCTTGCATGAGGAAATGTCACGAAGAAGTTGTTTGAGGCTTTCCAATGTAGTAGCCTCCCGCTGGTCCTCGTATTCCTGTGGAGTCACCTGCTGGCAGAAGGTGAACGCTGCAACACAGCAGAGAGGATGTGATAGGAGCGTTAACACACAGTGTTCAGGAAGCAAGGGTTTTTTGTGTGAATGTGGAGCAACAGTGCCTCCATGTGGGCACAACACTTTACATTTCGGGTCTATGTTTCATAGAAATCAGTATAGGTGTGTTTTGTTGCAACTGTGGATAGAGATACAGATTGAAACGTTCTGAACGTGGAGATTGGATTATCTGTAGCAGTTAAATGCTCAAGTAAACTGCACATTTAACCAGGATGTAGTCCATCAGGTTTATAATAATTAACTATAATAATCTGCTGACAACTTACTTGCAATGGAGTCCGGGTCTTTGCCCTGCTGCATAGTCCTCAGTGTCCTCTGCACAGCATCAATAAGAGCAGTAGGAGTCTATAATCATTGCAGAAAGAAAGAGGAAAGGAAACACTGAAACCAACATATAGCCTGGAGGTGTATAATCTCTTTATATAGGACAGAAGAAACTAAACACAAAGAAGAGCTGAACAAATTCAACAAAAAAAAAATCATTTCAGTCTTTTGTGTTTCACAGACAAATTCACAACTGAAAAGAGAAATCAATTATTTAAGCTGGTTAATTATGAAAACGTGTACCTTGAAGAGCTCAGTATGATTGTCCATGAGAAACAGTGCCAGAGTTTCACTCTGCGATCGAGTCAGTTCATGATTTTGAACGAGTGCTCTCTGAAAAGTGCGGCTGACCAAGGCCCTGTTATCAGTCTGAAAGAATAACAAAACAATGGCAGTAAGACAACAGTCCGTGATATTAACAACCGAACCGGACTGACAGTAACACTGTATTAGTGAGCTACCTGTTTCTGCAGACGGCAGGCCTCCAAGTGAGCTGCTGTGCTCATGAAGGCTAGTAGTCTCCGCAGTTCATCTCTCACACTCGTCTCCAGCAATCGTAAACACAACTGAGATGCTCTGATGGCATCCTGCACCTTCCCTTCATCTAGAAATAAACAAGACATGGACAAGAAAATGAAACATGCAGAATCCTACCAGAGAGAATTATTCCAACTATTGCCCTTCATGGCCAGAACAAAACAATGACAGAAAATGAAATACACATCATGGACACTGTCACAAAATGCAACTTATAAAACCTATTAAAAGAATTATGGTGCTCCTGAAGGTTCAAATTTAGGTCGTACAGTTTACAAGCTTTACATGCTGCGACTTGGAAACTGCTTTACACACAGCTTTAAATCACTGCTTCTCCTAATGACCCAGGAAAAACGCTTTTTAACTGTACGTTAGATAATCAGGTTATGGATGGTAGAAAGGTTTCTACAGCTAAATCTGGAAAAAACTAAAGTCTCGTCATTGATATTGAAACTTGAATGGAGAAACTTAATGTGAAACTGTAAGCACTGAGGGGGGATTCGGAGTTCAAAATTGATATCCTGATTCTAGCACAGCGATCGAATAGTCGGCTGTCCAGCTACTCAGGTCCAGCTCTAAGGTGGTGCAAATAAAGCCTGGTTGATTGATCATAAAATCACTATAACAGTTTTTTTAAAGTCTCACCCAGTAAATCCAGAATTGCAGTATGTATATCCAGGTAGCGTCCTGAAAGAAGTGGGGCTTTTTCCTGTCCATTGTAGTACTTTGCAATAGTGTCAAAGAGCAGTCTCTTCTGATTTGCAATCTGCTCTGCACTGCCATCGTCCAAAGAGGGTTTACCATCTCGCTGACTGAGCTGTTCCCCTGCAACCACGATCAGCTGGTCGGGAAAGAGCTCCAAGCAGTCTGCTGCTGCCGACAGCCACCCATCCAATCTGAGAAATTAAAGGCATGAAATAGAACAAATGATTACTTTACTGTCACTGTAGGTGGTGGGATACAAATCCACAACGATTATTTATCTCATGCAATTTGCTCTGTATTTTCAAGCAATGGATTATGTAGCAAAAACGTTCAAAGTATGAATCAGAGCACTGACTGGGGTAGGTTCAGGGTGTCAGGCAGCTCTCTTTCCAGGCATGTGTTTGAGATAACCAGGTCCTGGTTCACCAGAGCAGCTCTGCAGGCCCCAGGCTGAATCCTTTCAGGAGAGGTCAGTATGCAGTCCAACATGGGCAGCTCTACTATCTGCAGCAGCTGCAAGAGGGTCTGCTGCTTCCAAACCTCATCCACCACTAGGGAAGGAAGAGCAGAAAGAAGAAACATATCTGTCCACCATAAACTGCCATGGACTGTTCTGCTTGTATAGGGTCTACACTATATTGGTAAATATTAAAAGACTAGCTCATTACCAGCTTTGGACAGAAAAGCAGAACTCCTGAGGGTTGTGTTTCGAGCTGGAGACAAAGATGGTTGCAGGTTGATGGTCCTCAGCAGCCTTTCAACCCTCCTGTCTGATGGACCGACAGCAAGAGGATTGGAGATCGTCCTCAGGTCATTCAGCCTCCAAAAAGAACAGGATGCATTTTAGTGATTAATGAACACTTTGATCTGGGTACAGATACTGTGCAATGTTGTAAAACTCAAATATCAGACAACTTTTCACTACATAGAAACCTTAACATAATTAAGCACCCATATAACATATCAAAAAGGGGACTTTATGTAAATCCAACCTTGAGCTTTTCTTCCTCTTTATCCCCTGTTCCTGTGGTGGTATGTTTTCTGCATCACCACTGCCCTCGTGAATGGCAGAATTCAATCTTACTTTATATTCCAGAAAACGGTAAAGGCTGCAGCTGCTGTCCTCAAAGGCCACTTCTTTGTCTCTACGAAACAGCTTTGTGCCCACTGGCTCAAACACCTTCGCCTCCATCAGAGCCTGGCAGAGTCGAGCAGCTTTGAGGCGAGACACTTCACTTGTGCAAAACACCACATTCTGCATCAAATAACTGAGAACTGTGTCCACAGCGTCTGAGCCTGTAAAACATTCAGGATGAACACGTAGATGTCTCCTGCAGCGACGCACCTCAACCTGAGTCTGCAGGGCTTGGATAATGTTGTGCCACAGCTGGGTGGCACCGAAGGGCCCTGAGAAACCTATATGAAGACACAGGGTTAGAAGAAAAGGAGTCAAATCTGGCTGAATCCCTGAGCTAAAATGTTATGATGGATTTCATTCAGGTCCTGTGGGTTTTCAACCTGGTTGGATATGCCAGTTCACATACCTTAAAAAATGTCATCACACAACTTATTAAGTGAAATGTTATATCTAATCTGAAGGCAGAATCAGAATCACAGATACTGGATTGGGAAAAGTAAGACCTCAAGCAATTTGTGACAGTGAAAAGTGTAAATAAAAGCCTTGTCTCAGGAGACTTCATCTGAGGTTTGCTTGTTTGACTTTGAAAACTGTAATTTTAGTGTCATAGCTGTATGACAGTGCCAGTGGTTCAAGTTTAACTGGAGTTATTAACTGAACAGAGAAAAAAAATGCCAACTCTGTTGTTTTTTGGAGGGGGTTTTGTTGTTGTTGTTTTTTTTTTTTAGTTTAAAGGGACCAATTAAGCAACATTACGATAGCAGCTAGACTTTCCCAAGCCCGTTACATGTTGTTTGGGAAAGATACAGTCATGAGGACTTAAGAAAAAGTTACTTAAAAAGTGCAGACTTAGTAGTTCTCACATAACAAAGCGTGAGTCTAAATGTTAATACTGAAATCAACACAGTCACCTACAGTCTACATTGTCCTTTTAACTGCAGTGTCACACACAGGAATATTTACCATTTACCACCAGTTTAACTCAAACACTGTAGAATGGTGGGCTGAAAAAGACAGTGCTACACAGGTGAAAGATCTGAATGCATTCTCTCCAAAGCAGAAGGTCAATGTGGCATCCTAAACAAGGTCCCTGTGTGTCCACAGCTCTCCAATAAAACATATGTTGATCAAGATGGTCGCAGCTAACATTCAAATCTGTCAGTTCGGTGCCCACAAGCTAGCATTTGTTTACATAGCGGTGCTTTGTTTATGTAGTTATTTATACACAAATTAAAGAAGAAGAAAATGAAACCTATTTAGAGTTAATACTCAGACCTTACCGTGCTGTATATTTTCACGAAAACTTCTTGTTTGGCTGTTCAACCGTCGAAACCGAGGAGTCAAATCAACCGCCATCATGAACCCACTGTGTGACGTCTCCTTCTTCTACTGTATTTAAACGACAGATGGCGCACTGCTGCCCCCTATAGGACACAACACGCACTGGTTCCAATGTGTATTACATTAAAAAGCATAAACAAAAACATCCACAATCAGTACTTAAAAATCTTTTTTTGAGAAGTTAAACATATTGTTTAGAAGAAAACAATAAAAATATAAATTAAAATGTCATGCCACAGAGCTAAATTACAGCCCATCTGTCACACATGAACCATCTGGATACTTTCTCAGGATATTCATATAATCACACCACAATGATCCATTCGTAGAATTAATATAACTGCCAAGGTATTTTGGCATGAAGAGAGATAGCACCATAGCACAATAGTCTGACATATTTCTACATCAGGTCTGCCATAATAGAATTGGAATAACTGAATTAATAAAGCACTGAAATAACTGAATCACTCTGCAGAAAAAAAAACACAATGTAACAAAGTTGTGTTCAGCCACAAATTCAAAGAAAGGACTTTCCTTGCAGGCTTCTGATCTGCTAAAAATGACACTAACTGAAAATCCAGCATTTCTGTTTCTATTCCTCCAGTGAAACTTATTTCTAATCTTCTAGCAAGTAGACAACAGTCCAAATAGATCAAGGTGTTAACAATTCACTTAAACTAACCACTGAAAAAAAAAAAAAACTAACCAATGGACATTTTTAAAATAAAATATCATAAAGTTTGTCTTTTTGTAAGTTTAATTCAGTGTCTGGAGACGGACTCAGACATACACAGTCAGGCGAATGAGGTGAGTGAATGAATAAGCCTGGGAAAGGATACAAAAGGCTTTATACAGTCAAGTACATCCATCCATGATCTATACACCGCTTAATCTTCACTAGGGTCACAGTGGGGGGCTGGAGTCTATCCCAGCTGACTTAGGGCAAAGGCAGGGGACACCCTGGACAGGTCGCCAGTCTATCACAGGGCTACACTTAGAGACAAACAATCAAGCATTCACACCTATGGACAATTTAGAATCACCAATTAACCTCAACATGTTTTTGGATTTGTGGGGGGAAGCCGGAGAACCTGGAGAGAACCCACGCTGCACGGGGAGAACATGTAAACACCATGCAGAAAGATCCCGGGTGTCCTCACCGGGACACAAACCGGTGACCTTCTTGCTGCAAGGCAACAGTGCTACCAACTGCTCCACCTTGCAGCCCCTATACAGTCAATGGCACAAGTTATTTGTTATTCTTAGCTGGTAGCCAAAACAGCATTTTTGAAAACTATGCAACATCCATATGCCCTTGCAGATGACACAAGTCTGTGTGAAAAGCAGGAAGAGCGCTTTGGTACATAGGAGTTCTTCTACTCCCAGTCCTGAATAGGTTGGTAAAGGTCAAGGGGTTACCTGTAGCCCAGGTGTGGCTATGAGCATTACAAGCAATTAATTGGAAATTTCATCACGTCCTAAATACAGTGGAGCTGAGGCACCTCTAACTGAAAATCTTCTGGTGTCTGATTGGAAGGTCATGCAGGGGATGTAAAGAGCTGTCCAAAATGTTTTTGTGCATCAGTCTTTTTAGAATCTGAATCATTTTCATATCCAAGCATTCTTTCATACTTAAAGAATTTAAGGTGGTAATTTGGTGCAGCACCACTGACAAGTACAGAATTTTGAAAGAAAGGTAAAAAAAAAAAAAGAGTAAAAAGTAGTGGTAAAGCGTTGCAAGTCAAGAGGTAGTATGTCACAAGACAAATCAAGGAAATGTTAAATGAAAAAAGTAATTGAAATATTTACAATTCGCAGTAATGTATACTCATGAAAATATATGCAAATTTACATACATGACATTAATGGAATGTCACCCTGCACAAAAGAACCGAACTAAATGATTAGACATTAACAAAATATGGCTGAAAAATAAACAAATATCATAAAAGTAAAAAGACAGCATTATAACAGAGATCACAACACAAAGAAAAAATAAAATCTTTTCATATTTTCAAATAGTTAAACACTGTTGTTTCTTTAATCTGTTGTCTTTTCTTAAAGGAATTTGTGTGAAAAGAATGTGGAAAGAATGCACATTCCTTGCATGTGTACACAAACTTTAATGCTATTTCTTTGAGCTCTTTTTTTTTTAAAACAATAAAACTGTATGAACTAGATTTTGTCCCCATAATGTCCTCAGATATTCAGTACATGAACTACAGTGAGGACACATCCGTAAACAAACACGACCCACGTGAAAATAGAGCATAGCGGAGCGTACCATGTCAACCAAGGGGGATGCTACGTAGAATCACAGCCTTTCTCGAACTAGATATCTGTATTCACTCTAATGCAGACAGTTATAATTTGATACTGTGGTGTCTCCATTGCACAAAATCATAATACGCCTTGTGTTCGTCTTTGTTTGGTAGATAAACACCCCTACGTGTGACATGGTTTGGCCGGTTGTTCTCAGCAGGGGAAAGAAGAACGGTCCGTCCCGAGCTGCAGTTGAGAAGGTGGCAGTAATGTACCTAAAGCTGTTCGCCAGCCGCCATTAAACACATAAAGAAGAAGAAGCAGGAGGCGGAGAAGAAAGAAGGACCTTTAAACCGTAGACTGAGATCAACAGAGCAGGACGACGGCGAGTTTTCACTTCAGAACTGAGCTATTTTTGGTGACAGTCTCCGTCTCCGGAGATTTGAATCAGGTAAAAGTCGCTTTAGTCAGGAACCGTTGACGGTTTGTGGTTTTAGCTCAGTCTTCTGACACTGCTGGTAACTTTTGTGTTGCTTTGAGGTTTTGTGCGGACTGAAAACAAGGATACAGACTTCGAAGGTTTCAACTGACAGCTTGCGTGTCACCACTAATGTCAAAGTGTGTGTAAAAGTAGGCGAAATTATATGAATATTCAGTTGTACAGTTCGAAGGTTTGGTCAAGGAACAAAGACAGTAGTACAATGTAAACAACTCTCGAGCTGACAGTTAGCTAAAACGAATGTCTTTGGTAATACAGTGTGTTTTGCCTTCCTGCACTCTTTTATGATTCTGTCATTAGCGTATAAAATGTACTCCTATAAATGTGCATGGAGTTCTTGTTTTGGTCTGCAGCTGGGATCACGTGTACCCACTTCTCACGCGTGTGTGGATATTTTTTTATCCATGTGCTCAGCGATGTAACCAAAGATTTTCCATGCAGTGCTGACAGACGTGGATCTGCAGCCAATGACGAGAGTCCCCGTGTAGCTAGCCCAGCCTCCCCGATCCTCTGCTTTGTTTACATTGCACTGCAGTGAAATCTGGATCGCAGAGAGCTTTCTTTGTTTCTGCAGGAGTTGACTCCAGTAACAATATGTAGCCTGCACAGGAAAACCTGTCCTTTATTTGATCACATATTTGTTTATATGACTGACAAGCACTACAGATGTGCAGGTTTAGGGATGTTATTGCAGATGTCACATTCCAAAGCCTCACAATCTAGAGTGTATTTTAAATGCCTTTTTAAAATGAGTTTTCCAAACATGTCCATATATGTTGAGGTTTTGCATCATTGGTCTGTTACAGCATAATGCTTTTTGAATCCAACATTCAGGCTGGGCAAAGAGGCTTTCTCATAATGAAGCAGCAGCTGACAGAGTACACCTAATCCGTAATCAGTTTTCTGGACTGCAACGCTTTCATCCCTCTAGATAATCTCTGAAAATTGGCCTGCTGCGTTGCTTTGACCTAGCTGTCAAGTCTAGCGGATGATGTAATGAGCGAGCTGCAGACGTTAGCAGGGGCACATTTAAGTAGCACACTCCCCACACCCACCGTCCTCACCCCCCTGAGCTATCTTTATACTGTAAGAGCTGCCTGGGAGTGTGTATTCATTTTTGGCAGCAGATAACTGAGCCTGGGGACAGGAACACCCAGGGGTCATCCTGCCAGTACTGTATGTCTAAAGCAATATTAGAAAGGCATAGGCCTGCTTAGTTGTAGGTGTTACACTGAGCTACAATTTAGTATTTTTAATGAGCAGAGTGTGGTGATTGGTGTTTGCATTGATTAAAAACATGTGCACAACTTCCATGTTGCTTTAGAATAGATTAGAAATTGTTTAGGTTTGAGGTTTTAGGTCTTTATGTTGATTCATGAATTCACTCAGCTTGGTGTTAGCTTATATTTTTTTCTACTTAGCAAACAGAACCTTTCTTTGTTATGCTAATGTCTTTGTGTGGAAGACAGACAACATAGGTACAGGTGTAATAGGATCGTGTTGACGGTTGAGAAGCCCTCTGTTGTCCCATGTTGCCCTGGAGACACAATTGATCTCGGCTATATGGACACAGTGTCCCTTTTATTCTCAAGGAACACAGGCTTTTGTTTAAACCTATGTGGAAATTGGTCCTGCTAGTGTCTAGACTTTCGATAACGCTGTAAATCCTGGTGGCAGTAAACAAACTCTTGAGCCATCAAGTGTTTTTCCAGTGAATTACTTCATGCAATAACAGCGAGTTTAATAAGATGTTGAAACTCTGTGCAACGAGGCAGCTATCTCTGTTTCCGTGGTGACTGGCCCGCCAGCTGTTTTATAGAGTGTGACTGGTGTTTTTGTTACACTCTGTTGACTGCTATGGCAATAACAGCTGTTACTAAGGTGAGAAATCTATACTCTCTTGCACTCTGACGTGTGCAAATTATTATTTTTTTCCCACTCTCTTACAAGCTCAGGTAAAACTCTATTTTCAACTTTTTGATTTTCTTTTAGATATTTACAGCACCGCAGCAATTTATGTAGGAATTCCTCAACATGAACTACAGGGTCTGTGTTTGTCATTAGTGAAGGAATATGTTAGAGTCTGTAAATGTGGTAATCATTTGTGTGAGTTAAAGCTTTTGGACAACAATAGAGCTCTGTGGCACAAAGAAGTACGTGTCAGCGATTGGCAACACAAATGATTCTTGTTAGTAGGTGATAGAATATCACCATGAGTCAAATGTCAGATCTTGGGGTTTTTGCAGTTTTTGTTAGGAACCACTAAGAACTACAGTTTAGTTGAGAAAAATTTGAAAAATAATAATTAACAACCCAAGACTCGCATGCCTTTAGGTGTGAAGGGTTGAAAAACTATCAGGTTAGGGATTACTTGAGATGTTAATAGTGGTGAAACAACTCAAGACTTCATTATAAGTACCTGATAAGTAGGGCTGTAGACCCCACTACCTCGTCAGAAAATGGCTGTTTCATTTGAACATAGATGGCTTTCTTCACTTCTCTCTCAAACCATCTGTCTTCTTCATCCAGAGTGTTTTAGATGCCGGTGGACAAGACTCAGCAGTCTGCTTGCATTTGAAACATAAGGAACACTCTTTTGAGGAACACAGTGTCATATTGTAGACAGAGAGGATCGATGGTTTGAGACAGGAGTGAAGGAAGCCATCTTTGTTAAACTGAAACAGGCATTTTTAAATGGAGAAATAGGTCAACACCAATTATCAGTACTTATAGTCATGAGATCTTTCCCTAGAATGTTGCACCACTGTTACTATCTTGGGCCGTCTCTCCCCTGGCAGTTTTACAACCCCTCACACTTCAAAGCATGTGATCTTGGGTAGTTAATGGGCTTTTAATCATGTGATTTGGGGTGAGAATATACACTGGTATCTGGGACTCCCCTGTCAGTTTGTTAGAACTGAAGAAGCCTTTTGGATAAGAGGTTAAACATCTTCAAGAACCAAAAAAAAGTACTTTGCATTCGCTTCATACTTGCTGAACAGATTAAGTTACATAAAGTGTTAGGAAAGTCATTGACTTTCTGTTTAAGGGGTTCGTCAAGAAACTAAAAGTTACTATCAACTTCTCATATGCAGCTCTAATCCAAGATGCCTCTAAATGATGAGCGACCCACCTCCACATCTAGCGGTGAAGATCAAGGCTGTGACGGGGAGTCATCATCGGAGCGCTGCGACAGCATGACGTCGACCAGCGATCTGGACTGCTCACGTGAAAGCTTCTCCAGCGACTGCTCCAGCAAACATTGCACACCCTCCTGTAAGTTTGGCCGCTCGTCAGGCATCCTCTGACTTCCTGTTTTTCATTTGTGTTATTTTTAATCTCATTAGGGAGCAACCACCCTCACGAATGTCATCACACAGCTTTAGTAATCAAACACAAGCTCTTGTTTGTCTGTTTACAAACTTGGTTCAATGTTTGATTCTCACAGCAAGCCCACCTAAAGCCTTAACCCTGGATGAAGTCATGGATGCTGGAAGAGACCTGTTCAACCTGAAGCTTTCCCATGAAATTGTTGTGAACCACAGTTTCCAAATGGAACTAAATAGCCTACCCCAGGACAGGTATACGATGAGAAAGATCTTTGTTGTCCGTTTGTTCACCCCTTGATCATGTCTTGTAGATTATTAGCCGAATTAAATAAGTTTTTGTCATGTAAGCATTTGGGAAAATAGAAAGATAACTGCAAATGAATTTGATTACACATGCTTTGAGGACGAATATCAAGTTTTACAATAGTTGTATCAGTTGTTTACTCCCACAATTTACACTCTTCTATTGTCAATGTATACTGACTGTTTAGTAGCTGTAAAAAGACAATCTGACACTGATGTGTGACTTTTCAGAAGGTTATGAGAAAAGGGAGATCCAAAGAGATGCCTCTGTCTGTGGCCAAAGTGACTGTGAACCACACAACTCGTGAAATATTTAAATAATTCAACAAAAGCAGGTCCAAAAAACATGGCAGCCTCTAACAAACACAACAAACGGTGCTGATAGGAAGGAACACAAAGTTTAAATTATCCAAAAGGGACATTGTGTACGTATACAGTATAGAGAATCTTTTCTACTGATGTGAATGATTGGTGTATAATCAAAAATAACCAATCTTTGTTAAACTGTCCTAAAAGGTTGTTCATTGTCTTCAAAATAAAAGAGTTGATTTCTTTCCAAGAAGACAAGAGGTGAAGGTACTTACTTGCCAAGATGAATGTTAATACTTTATTGGCTAATTATCAGAATTTAGCTCAGAAACATTATAGAAATTGTATAGATGAACAGCGCTTACCTATATTTATTTCAATCTGTATTGAATTTCACAGAAAAAAGAATCTTTAGTTCAATCTGAGCAGAACAAGAACGGACAAAGAGTGATGAGGGGTAGACAAGAAAGGAGAAGAAAATAATTTATTTATAGTAGAGGGAGGAGAGGGACAGCCGCAGGTAAAACAGACAGCAAAATTCAATGCAGTGATTTATCATCACACAGTGTTGCTGGCAGCAAATCAAAATGATGTTCTGTGCAATAATGGCTCCTTTTTTTATTCTGTGTGAACCATCTTACCAAGAACACTGAGTTTTCTCCTTCGGGATTTGGTGAAGTAGAAAAACAAAGCCACAAGTCTGTATAGTATATTTTATAAATGGCATCCCTTTTTTTTTTTTCTTTTTTTTTTTTTTTTAGTTTATGGAAGATGGTTAGAGATAATCTCCACAAGGCCTTCTGGGACATCCTGGAGGCTGAACTGAATGATGACCCACCTGAGTATGGACAAGCCATCAACTTATTGGAGGAGATCAGAGAGGTTTACAGCTTCATTATGTTTTTTTACAAGAGACTCCATTAGCTCTGACTGAACAAGATAAATGAGCATTTCTAATATTTTTTTTTGTATTACCTTTTGCATGATTCTTCACAAGTCCTAACCTTCCTTGTCTCATCTACTTCTCTTTTGTTCCTTGACCTCATTTGTGATAAGTATAGATAGAAAACTGAAAACAAACAAGTAAAAATATTCTAAGTAAAGTTTTTTTTTTTTTTTTTTTGTAATTGGACAGATTTTACTATCATTCCTTAATCCTGGTGCCAATCGGATGCGGACCCAGATCATGGAGGTGCTGGACATGGACCTGATTCGTCAGCAGGCTGACAACGATGCTGTAGACATCCAGGGGCTTGCCTCTTACATTATCACCACCATGGGCAAGTTGTGTGCACCAGTGAGAGATGAGGAGATCAAGAAGCTACGGGAAAGCACCCTCAACATAGTGGCACTCTTCAGGTAATTCCATACTAGTGTTTAAAAGAATCAAAAAAAATTTCAGTGTGATGAATAAATCCTTATTTTCAGAAACTGTGTTGTGTATCGGAGAGAATACAGAAACTTGAGTTTGTTGAATGTATTTATTCAATGAAAAGCAAGGTAATCACCACAATTTGTTATTTTCTAACCACTAGGGAGATATTCCGTGTGTTGGACTTGATGAAGGTGGACATTGTCAACAATACAATTGAACAACTGAGGCCTGTGTTGCAGAGACACAGTGTTGAATATGAGAGGGCAACGTTTCAGAGTATCCTGGACAAAACACCCAGTGAGTGAGAAAGAAAGAACACATTGTCTTTTTTTGTAACCTGCTCCATATATATGTTGTGAGTTGTTTGTTTCTAACAAATAGAATCTGACTAAATTTGAGAATGTAATTGATAGTGTGACAGTGTGTTGGAATAACACGGCAAAGTAACACATACTTATGCTTCATATATCAACTGACTGATGTATTGCTCAGGACCTACTACAAAATATGTCATTGTGTCAAAGTAAAAAAAAAACAACAACTGTTATACCACGGTATTAAGTTACTGTGAATCTGCCTCAGATTCTTTAGACAATACAACCTCCTGGATCAAGTCCGCCCTGGAAGAGCTGCAGTCAGCCACTGTACCCAAAGAACAAACTCATGGTGATGGGAAAAGACAACAAGTGGTGCCTGGGCCCTTTCAGGTCATCAACACTGCCTTCCTCCGTATCCTCACAGGGGACTTCTTTAAAAGCCCACTGCCTGAGGTAATGTGGTGTATTTGTTTGTGAAATTAACCCTATAAACCCCAAAACCTACCGGTTAGTTTGGAAGGCATGTTATGAAAAGAAAAAACAATTAAAAAAAATGCAAAACATGCCTTCAATCCGAGCCAGAAAGATTTTCAACTTTTCAACAGTCTTTTAGCTACTCACCTGTAATGTGCCATTCTATTGAAAAACTTAACCAACTTAACCAGCTCAAAATGGTGATATTTCATCAAAATTAATCTCACTGTCCCATTTAAACATTCACCAAAAATCCAATAACACTAACTGAAGTGTAAAAGGGAAAAACAACCTGCACTTCCTGTAGCAACTGGGATACCCTCAGTAACTCATCTGTGGCCTGCAGTCGTATGACTTAAGTACATGGGCTTTTTGGCTAAACTGGGCTGAACTCCACACTGTGTTTACACAAAGCAGAGAGGAGACTAATATGAAAGAGATTAAAACAGTAAGTAGCAAAATAATCTATGGCATCAGCAGTGGTAACATCTGAAAAATGTTTATACCAGGTTTTTACCTTTTTTGTCAAATAAATGATCAAAGAAATTCATCTTTCATTTAGACTTTTTAGTGTTTTATGGTAATATAACTGATCAAAAAGACATTGTTGAGATCTCTACTTCTAACCATGGTTGTGCTGTTTCCACAGAGGTACTGAACTTTATATTGCACAGTAAAATTAGTCCACAGTGAGTAAAATTATGACAGAAATTACTGAAACAAAGAAACTAGTTAGGGTTCAGTAGGTTAAGAGAAACAGATTTCATTACGTGACAATTTCTCTGCTCGTGATGTGTAAAATATACATAGTCCTATTATAGGTCTAGGATGAAAATTTAGGAGACATTTAGACAATTTGTGCTTGGGGATAGCATTAACTCCCAAGGAAAAATTGACTGGATGTCTTCTAAACAAGAAAACATATTTACATGACTTGTAAGTATGTTTCACATATTGATATGAAACTAATATAATAATAATATAATACCAAGTATCGTATACTGAATGTATTTGGTTCCTCTTTAGACCCTGGCAACAGATGAGACCCGCCTGCTCGAGATTCACTGGCAGCTTCAGCAGTGTCAGGCGGTGAACGAGGTGATGCTAATTGTCTATAGCACCATTGGAGGGCCTATCCAGGGTCTTCCCTCCCTGTCTGATCGTCTAAAGAGGATGATCAGTGTGTTGTTGGATGGGATGCACAGACCGTAAGTTCCCTTTCATTTTATAAGCCCATGAATTTATTCAAACATCTTCCTCATATGACATCTGAGCTCAACGCTGAACTCAATGTTCCCTCTGTCTCTAGGAGCTTTAACCTAGAAGAGTCACTAGAGGGCATCAGTGGGCAGATCTGCTGTGAGCTCAACAAGTCTTTAACAGAGAGGAGCTACCCTGCACTCACCCCAGCACTTCAAGCCACCCTCACGGGTCAGATCTGCAGCATCACCCAGAAGGACAATCCCATCCGCACTCTAGTTGGTAAGACAGAGTGAACCGGACTGACATATTTAATGCGCAGAAAAACATGTATTAGTGGGACTGTGCTGAATACACAAAAACAGAGGTGATAATGAAGCTCGAAATCTGCTGGTTGGGAGTTTTCTAACCCTGTCCTCTCCTCTACCTTTCCCTGCAGAGGATCGTGTGCAGCAGTACTTCATGGTGCTTCTCAACAACCCAAAATCTCAGCACAAACTTGAACAGGTACCAGCTGGCTTGGCAGTTATCAAGCCTGAACTAGCGCTGATAGGAGCAAAGTTCGTCTCCCTGGTCAACTACAACAAGAATGTTTATGGACCTTTCTATGCGGATATCATCAGGAAGCTGCTGTTCAGCAACAGCCCACCTGCAGCGAGCCTTCCTCAGGACCCGGCTCAGGACTCTGTCACCCACAATTAAATGCAAAATATGGCTCATGCAGGTGAAGGTTTTTTTTATCGGACAGGGCTAAAACTGAGAAAGTGTGTATGTGAGTGTGTAGGGGGGGCTGCTGTGTATACTGAAATGTATTTGAGCACTGTCAAACAGGCTGTTATGACACAAAGAAGGACAAAGTATGCGAGTGGGAAGACAAAATACAATAGATATATAAAGCGATTATCTTTTCCTGAACCTAACCGCGACATCCCATTTCATACAGTTCTCTGTAGTGAAACTCTTAAGAGAAAAAGGGCAAAACTTTAGTATGTGTAACACATGCAGCGAGCTTTATGAAGTAAAAAGGAAGAAGCTTATATATTTAGAAAAGTAGCAGAGTAGCATTTCAGATTCTTTACATTTAACAAGTTACTTATCTTTGTTCTTTACTGAGGTATAACTATAGTTACTCACACAGGGAAATTGTCCATAGCAAGTGCCACATGTGCTGATATTAATGCAAAACATGAGAGAGCCCTTAATTCAGTGAGTTAGTACTTTGATAGTCCCTTACTTTTGTTACTTAATCTGTCAGAAACTTAAGCTTCCTGTATTATTTTAAATCCACTCTGAGTTTTGACTTGTCAAAGGAAGTTGTCTGCATGAGTGTCTTTGTGTTGGGATTTGGTCCTTTTAGTTTTTACTTGAGTAATTCTTTGGAATATTTGCCACATGTGTTTTCTGTACTTTTACTTAATATCTGCCAGTGGAGTACAAGTTATATTGATTTTGTTGCGATGCTTGTTATTATATTTTGAAGTACTGTAGTTTTTACAGTATTGCCTGTTATGTGTTGGCTGTTAGAACACGTTGGGAAACGAAAGGTGCTGAACTCAAAAGTGATTTTTGGGTCCATAATTTCCAGCGGACCTATGCATATGCACAAAGAAAAGCAGTTATGTAGTTTTACAAAAGTTTACATGAAAATGTGGAAAAGTTGTTGTTCTTTTCTTCTGTACCACTGTTAATATAATAAAACATCAGAAAGAAAACTGAGCATGCATTAGTGATTAATTCACAATTATATAATCCAAGTAGAATGTTTTAAAAAAAAATGAATTACATAAAAGACAATGAGAAATACAATGAATTAGAGGGAATAAAACATTTTAAAACATGAAGATAATCAAATAAATGATTAATAGACAGTTCTAATTAAAAGCCAGGCTTTTAACCTATGACTAAATCTTCTGTTTTATCTTGTTAGTAGATGTAAAGTTCTGAAATTAGATATAAAACGTAACAGACATAAGAAGTGTTGTGGATGTGCATAAATAACATCAAACTGTAATATATATAACCAAAGGAGGATTGTTAGCCTTTAAGGTAAATATGACATTCAGAGCACGGTTTTCACACCACATGGACCACCTCTTAATACAGATAAATATAGCTGTTGAAAAATTTTGATTACCCACCTGCAAAGAAAACTGAGACGTATAACCTTACTGATAAAGCAAATCTGACATTAATTCAAAGTGCTTCGTATTTTCTCTAAATGGAGATTCAATTGTTGGATTTTGATTGTCAGACTGGCCTAATTTAATTTTGTATTCAGAAATGGTTGCTTTCCAGGTCTGACAACATGTTTATATGTTTACAGCATTATACAGTTTAACTACTTATAGCTCCTCATAATTGCATTATCAGTGCGTCAGTGTACAGTGCAATAAACAACATGCTCTCATCACCTCTATCACCAGGCAGTATCGTTGCCTTCAGGTACAGTCAGGAAATCGAAAAATTATGACATGCAAACACAGGTGAACGCGTTTTGTTATGATTTCTTGTTCCAAAAGTTAGACACTGTAATATTTAATAGATAGAAAGCGTTGATGCAATGTTGTATATTCTGGGAGAATATACAAAACACAAAAATTCTTGACTAAATTACCTAAAAAATGCCAAAAGTAAGTCAGTCAGACCCATTTCTCCCACTTATGAATCGCAACAGCGCCTAATTGCATCGGTTTACAAATAAACAACAGCTGTTGAAATGAATCATCTTATGTGAGATATTACCTTGTTGTAAACAGTGAACAAAGGTTGTAAATGTTTGTATTTACGACAGAGAAGTAGAGCTTGAATGCAGCATCAGTTTGCCCAGTTACACGTTCGCTAAACTCATGAGCTCATCAGTCACGTGGTTTGAATCTAGCCCCGGGATTGGCTGCGTCACGCCGGGGCAGTTGTTATTGTTGTGGATCAGGAAGCTCTTCTTTCAAAATTGGGCGTATAGTATAGCATTGACACTGAGGACCAAACTGTCAATTTACTCATTTGAATCTTTAAAACGTGACTTTACTTTACAGCCAGACACTGTTCAACAAATATCGGCCTCGTTAAACAAAAGAAGATATTCGTAAGTATCTGCTGGTGGCTACTTTCTTTGTTTCATTATGTTGTCGAGTCAAAGTGAGTGAACTTGTCTAGACATGTGTTGAAATGAGCTGAGTGTACCACACTAGCGATAGTAAGATACTTCCTCCATATTAGTATGTAAGAACAAATTAAAGTCAAGTCCAAACATACGGTATCTATGTTTATTCATTCACTGACAGGCAGTGCAGAGCTGTCAGAAAGTGACAAAGCTCTCCCCAGAATTGTGTTGATACTAGAAGAAATTAATCCACGATAGACTATCTGAATTTTTTGCTTAGTAATATCTACGTGAACAATCAGTTCCGTTTTCACTTTTGGGCTCTACCTGTTTCCCCTTTTGCTCTTTGTACGACAAGTCCACTGAATGTCTCCACGTCCTTTTGTGTATTTTTGGGCTGTCTTTCATTAAGGATTGGACCTACTGATTATTTTCAGTGGTTACTGTGTTATTTTATAGACTAATGGGGAAATCATCATTACAACTACTCATTAAAATTTCTCACAGCCTCAGGTAAAGTCCTCTAACAGCTGGTTTTACACAGTAATGAAATATGAAAGTAGTTGTAGAATAATTATTGACAAATTACTTTAGTGTACCGTTTAAAACATATATATATTTAACAATTTGAAAGTAATTTTAGCCCTTTATTTAAGAGTAAATGACAGAGATGTCAGGGATCCATACATAATGAAAATAATTCTGACTGTAATGTAGGTGTGTGTACAGAAGTGTATGCATCATGACAATAAAAAGTATAAAAAGGATTCTGATTCTGCAAGTAACAGAATAGGTGACATGCAAACAAGCTATACTCAAAATCCCAAAGTCAAAGCTGTTACGATGTGAAGATACTCCTGCCATTCCTCAAGACCCTTCTCAACCAGATAACCTCCCAGCTTTATAAGCCCGTAATAATTTAACTGAGCTGCTGTATTCCGACACTAGTCTTTAAATTTTGAGCAGTCCTGCCCCCTCACTGTCTTATAGGTGAGCAATCATAGCCGTTTTGATGACTTTCTAAAGCTGCTTCTGCTAACTCTAAAATGTCTCACAAGCTAAGAACACAAAAGGTTCTGCTGTTGGCAGCAAGAGTGAATTCAAGAGTCTTCCTTCACCCCCAGTATCTGAAGAACAGAAGATTCAATGAATTGTTTTATATTATTAATGGCAACATCTCTGCAATGATCGGAAAAAAATCCTTATTGTTGTTAGTGCTGTGGAAACTGTTGCTGAGGGACATTCAACGATGGTAGAAGACCTGTTTGAAATCAATAAACAAGGACTGGTTTGGTTACTGTGTGTCCATATTGTGCTTCAGTGAAACCTAAACTCTGCTGGTTTTACTGTTTACTCCTCTTCTACTCTCTGCGCACACATATAGCCTACTGCTAAATTCTCAATATACCTGTTTGTATTTGCATATTTTCTTGTTTTTGTTAATGACTGAAACGCAGCCCATTAAGACTACATCTTAAACAACAGTCGCTTTAGAGCCATTTCCAAACTACTGCTCTGCACAGCTGATATATATATATATATTTTATTTTCATTTTATTTATTTGCATCCTCTCCATCAATTGCAGCGCATCGAGATCGTGCATGGTTGGTGTGTTGTGCAGAGATGGCGCTGGAGGAAGGGGCGCGGAGCTGTCTGCTGCGCTTTCGCCACAGACTGGAGCAGGACATCAAAGCCGGCTACCTGATGGACCACATGATCAGTGACGGTGTGATGACTGTGGATGAGGAGGAGAAGATCAGGATTAAGGTAAAATTATGCTGAAGGTGGCAGGGCACATGGGAAAACAATTAATCATTGGAAACCTATATTATTTTTGTGTCTTGTCGTTTTTTTTTTCTCCCAGCAGAGAGGTGGCTTTACCTTTTTCTTTATTTTAGTGAATTCTTGCCCTCCTTTCCTCGTGTTATATTTTACATGTACTGAGTTACCTTCATTGACTGATTCATGCCATTTGTTTTCCAAAGTTAGTGCCATTTTATGTGCAGGTCATAAAGTTGATCAACTTTCTTCCTCACCTTCTGCTCGCAGATATATTTTTTTACAAACTTTAATTTCACCCGGGCAACTTAAAGATGTGTCAGCACATTTTGCTTGGGGGTGCTGCTTAGGGAGACACAAACAGAATACTTATTGACTGCTGAAGGAGGTGAAGTAGCAACCTAGCCAATATGTGTGCTGAAATCCCTTCATAGTCTTTGAATTTAGCTTCAAGATTTCAGGGGTTTTCAATCTATTTTCTGGATAATGTGGTTCTGACCTTTGCACTTCTTACTCTTGTAGTGTATCTGCGTGTTTTATTACTACCATGATGATAAGCTTGCCTTGCAGAATCCCAGACTGTAAAACACAGGATCCCTCCATCAGATGTTTAAAGGTCCAGTCAGTGTGTGTGATTTACGGGGATCTATAAGTAGAAATGGAAAATACTACTCAAAATTCTGTTTTCATTTATGTACCATCACCTGAAAATAGCAATAGTTGTGTTTTCTTGAACTTAGAATGAAGCCTTTATTTTTACTTTATATTTAAAAGGGCCTTATACATTCTTAGCATTCTCATTAGGTCATTCTGCATGCTTTGGGGGGCAAGTAAGTGGTATTCAGTTGGTTGCAACATGCAACTTCACCACCAGATGCCACAAAAGCCTACAAAGGCTCGGGTAATTTCTGGAATATGACTGGCTTAGATGATTCAAGGAAGGCCAGGGAGTTACATAAGTAGTATTTCAGAAATGATGGTTGGACATCTAAGAACTTTTTCACAACTTTCTCTGGCTTAGTTATGTAAATCATGTACTGTTTCATCAGCTCACATAACATAGCAGCATGTCAAAAGCATAGTCCTCATCTCATCTCTGATATTTCACCTCTCCAGCCCACCAGAAAGGATCAGGCTGCAGCCCTGCTGGAACTCTTACTGATGAAAGACAATCGTGCCTACATCTCTTTCTACAACGCCCTGGTCAAGGAGGCATACGATGATTTGGCACATATGCTCCACGGCGACCTACCGTGCGTTGTACCTGATGCACATAAGAGCTCCTCTGATAGCCTTACATCTTATGGTGAGATGTGGGAAGCTGTGGGTGGAGAGAGTGGAGGTCTGGAAGGCTGTGCTGTCAGTGCGTGGGAGTCCATGAGTGTTCGAGAAAAAAAGTTATGTGAAGACACTGCTTGTTGTGTGGGTGCTGTTTTGGTTATAAGGTCAATCAGCAGTCTTGTAAACACAGTTTCCTTCTTATTATTATTAAAGTCCTTGGTGTCTTCTTTTGCATTTTCAAAATTCTACAGTCATTCACAGCTGATGTGTTTGCACAGTGTTTATGTCAATCCCCTTCTGGTTTGTCTAACAGTCCAGACGGTGCTTAGTGAAGGCGGAGTGCCACAGAGGCCCGTGGTGTTTGTCAGCAGACCAGAGCTGGTGAACCGGGTCAGGGAGAAACTGTACCGGCTCCAGAAGGATACTGGCTGGGTCACGGTCTTCGGCATGGCCGGCTCGGGCAAGTCTGTCCTCGCTGCCGAGGCTGTCAGACACCATGGACTCATCGAAGGTACACAATGTTTGACTGACTCTAATCAAGCACTAATGATCAAATATTGATTTTCATGAAACAATCAAGAATTCAAGAAATGAAAACTAATTCAAATGAAAAAGTTGTAATCATCTTGGACTGATATACTTTGTGTGTCCTGCTAAGTGTCACAGATCACTAATGGACTGATTTATCTAGGTAGATAGTGCTTCATTGTCATTAACAAGCCATGAAATGCCAACGTGATAACACTCAAATGTGAGAGCATAGCTTCAAACGCAGTTATCTAACAATTATTTCTCTGTAGCTTCTCACCCTCTGCTTCGTAGACTAAGTTGTTTTCCTTTCCGTGTCTCCAGACTGTTTTCCTGGAGGTATCCACTGGCTGGCCATTGGTCAGCTGGACAAGCCGGACCTGCTGGTGAAGATGCAGTCATTGTGTTTTCGTCTGGAGCAGGGCCTGGATTCCCAGTCCCTCTCCAGGCCCCCCACCTCTCTGGATGAAGCCAAGGAGCGTCTGCGCTTCCTCATGCTGCGGAGATATCCCAGGTTACTACCTTGAGATGATCGTGATCTGCTTTCCTAGCGTCTTGTTCAAAGTCTGCTGTCAAATCAAGATACAAAATTGAGGCTCAAGGGAATAGGACCAGTTCGGTTGAGCATAAAATATCTTTACTGTCAAATTTAAAACAATGAATAATAAATAAGTAGCATCTACATGGAGAACATGCAATAATTACCACAACTTTATTTTATGTAGACAACTACACTCAGCATGTGTATCTTCAGCCATTTCTGCAAATTTTACTTTTTTTAACAGGTAAGATAAGCGAGGACACAAAAACAATCAAATTATTAAGAATAATGAATCGAAAATGAATTCAATCTTTGGTGACAAACAATTTAATCATTTATAAATAAAATAAAAAATAAAATTACAAGAAACAAAGTAAAAAAAATAAAAAATAAAGCAGGAGGATTTCAAATTGCAAGAACTTAGAACAAGGAATTACATGACTATAAATGCACATTTAGGTTGGTATTTATTTAGTTACTGAACCAGCTAGATTTCAATAGCAGCTTTAAATGGTGTTTTGGTATCAGTAGGTGTTTCAGTAGGATGTATGCAGACATTTACAAGACAGGTTTTGGATGAACATTTTAGTGAAAGCTAAACTCTTGTTTAGAAGGGTTAAAGAAAAAAGCAGAGATCAGATACTAACTTGTGATATTTTATTCTTTTTTTCATTAAATGCTTATATGTCATGTTAAGTCTGATCAGTGTGGTGGGAAACATCTTTTTCCTTGTTGGTGTCCTTTTTAGATCTCTGCTGATTCTAGATGACATCTGGGATAGTACAGTGCTGAAGGCGTTTGATATCCACTGTCGGATACTTCTAACCACCAGAAATAGAAGCCTTACTGACACTGTTAGCGGTATGTGCCTCATTGTTGACTCTGGTCACAATACGCATGCAAATTTGACAAAGTGAAGCCTTCTGTGATTACTTTTCTTTACACTAAAAATGCAGTTGTAACTAAAAAGATCTGTGCACTGCATTTGTGCTTTTATGTTGTAGGTGCTAAACATGAGGTGGGAGTGCAGAGTGGTCTGGATGAAAACAAGGGGCTGGAGATCCTTGCTCTGTACACTAAAATTAAGCCTCACGGGCTTCCTGAGGAGGCTCGCAGCATCGTAAGAGAGTGTAAAGGTTTGTAAACTGACATGCTGTAATGCAATCTGTATGTGCGAACAAAGGTACAAATTTAAGTCCATATTTGCTAGTATTGGTGATGTAAGTACATTTTTAACATTAGAAAACACACATCACTTTGATTTAGTCGTTTAATTGTAATTTAGTTAAGTTGTAATTATTTATAACCCTGTTATAGTTTCTGGTCATTTTTTTGCTCCTCGAACATTTTTACTCAGCGTGGACTCAGTTCTCACTGCAATATAAAGTCCTGCACCTCTTGGAAACAGCACAACCATGACTACAAGTAGAGAGAACTCACAAAGGTCCTTTGTGCCATGTAACATAGTTAGAATGCCATAGACTATGACAAAAAGCAAAGCTTGAATTTCTTTGATTTCTTTGTTTGTCTCCTATCTGCTCTTTGTAAACATGGCTGGCAGTTCAGCCCAGTTCAGCGGAAAAGTCCTTGAATTCATGTTATGTGACTGTTTTTCAAAGCTGAGTCAATAATTGCTTCACAGTCACAGCGAGGAGCACGTCAGTTTTTATTTGTTTTTTAATTAAAAATTTTTTTTTTTTTTTTTTTTAACATAATGTGGTTATTACAAATCCCANATTTTTGATGAAATATCAAGATTTTAAGGTTAGATTCAGTTAAACTTTCTGACTGAACAGCGTATCACAAATAGTTAGCTCAAGTACTGGTGTGAGAATTGAAAGTCATGGAGTCTTTCTGTTTTTACAGTTTCTGACTTTGATAAGCAGTATAATTTTGGTGATTTTATTTTTTAAAAAAGTGTATATTTACATTGATGTACATGAGGTTCAGAGGATAAAAAGAACTATCTGTCAGTCTTGTGTTTTGTGCAGGTTCAAGTCTTATTGTTTTGGGATCATACTTACATAATTCTGCTTTTAACACACAAGTTTTCTTTTTCTTTCTGACCCATGCCAGGCTCCCCTCTGGTGGTGTCTCTGATTGGGGCTTTGCTCAAAGACAAACCCAACCGTTGGAGCTACTACCTCCGCCAGCTGCAGCAGAAACAGTTTAAACGTATTCGGAAGTCGTCATCTTACGACTACGATGCCCTGGATCAGGCCATGGCCGCGAGCATTGAGGTCCTACCTGACGAGCATCGAGAGCTCTACAAGGACTTAACTGTGCTGGAGAAGGACATCAAAGTCCCTGCTAAGGTTAGGTTCGACTACACAACACAAGACACTTATGATTGCTGTCATATGTCCATCAGTGGAACATGACACTGATGTTCTTTATTTACATTATAAAGCTTTTAGTGGTTCAGTCACCGAATGTGGTGAATTTCCAGAAAGTAATCAGTTTTATTTTGCACATTGTTTTCAGTTCATGCAGTCAGAGTTATTTCCTCTCCCAGGTGCTGTCTGTTCTGTGGGATCTGGAGCCGGAGGAGGTGGAGGACATTCTCCAGGAGTTTGTTGACAAGTCTCTGCTTTTTGTGGACAGTCACAACAAACCCTACCTGTACTACCTTCACGACCTCCAGCTGGACTTCCTCGTGGAGCAGAATCGAACCCAGCTCGAGGTCAGTCTGTTCACAACTTGAGGGGAACTCAAGTTTTTAGAGTTCAGACTTATCAAGTGACTAAGGCAATTATGCTAGAAGGCGTAAGAGGCCATGTAGCTGATTTGCTGCAGTGGTTTTACAACAGCATAATAAATAAATAGCATTAACAACATAATTAGCAAATACTTAATAATTATTGCTTCTTGTCTAGTGCTTTACCACGACATGCATTTTGTAAAGTATGTGTTTGTGTTTCAGATCCTTCACAGTAAGGTGGTGAATCAGTACCAACAGCACTACAGAGATGGTCCTCCCACCTCAGGAGATGAGGAATGTCTCTACTGGATCAGATTCTTGACCTACCATATGGCCAAAGCCAACCTCTCACAGGTAAAACACACACATACTGGGAGGCCAGCTAATCCAGGATTTTTACCTATTGACGTTCCAGTACAATCGTAGATGCTTTTGCAATGATTTTTTAAAATTCAATCAAGTATTTGAGTTAAAATGGATTAAAAACAAAATTAGCTGTGAAAAGTTTTTGTTTTCTGAATCTGATCAAATATAAACCAGTGCGGAACATTTGATTACACCAGTCATGATTGTTCCTCATAATTTCCATTTCATTATATGCATCGATTCTGGGAAAACATTCTTATTGATATGGTAAAATTAACTGAGCTCATATTGCACAGCCGTGTACAAACACTTTGCAGAGCCGCTGTACATGGCAGTGGATTGATAGCAGGGTGTTATTTCTCCAGTCTGTCTATATTTTTCTCCTTTGTTCACCATGTCTCTTGACCTGTTTGTCACTCTGTTTAGGAGCTGTACTCCCTCATGTTCTCTCTGGATTGGATCAGCACCAAGGCCCAGATAATGGGTCCAGCTCACCTCATCAATGACTACATGGAGTATGGATCCATTCTGGACAAAGAGGTCAGCAGACATGAAGCGCTTTATGAAACAATCTGGCTACTGTGTGGGTGTTATTTAAAGATTTCTACTGTCACAAGACAAAGATAAAGGGTGAGGATGCTTCCCATTCCCCTTCATTAAAATGGGACGCAAGTCCCTCTCGAGGGGACAAATACAGGTTTAGAAGTCCGTCTGTCCTTCTTGCTCTTGCCCCCCCTCTGTGAAACTTTGTGAATTAAATAAAGCGTGACCCTCTATTATCTTTCCCCCAAGTTGTTTTTGATTATCTCATTTACAAAGACAAGTTTATTGTCCTTCCATGTTTTGGATGTCCCCTGCTCCCTTACCAATTTTCATCATTGCAAGACGGCAGATTTGATAAGTGGCAAATGGTTTATTAGACGCAAGCGGGGAAGCATGGAGCTGTGATGCGTAACTCCCACACCGGTTTTATGAGGACATGCAAAGTAAGAAGGCTCCGAAATTTCTGAGGCAATAGTAATTTACTATTTTTTATACCAAAGTAACAATTTAATCTTGTGTCTCGTGGGTTATCAGTGATTTTCAGTGAATGTTCTTCGTCCTTGCCTGGATAAATTGATGGGTGCTGAAATGAGAATAAATACAATCATTATGCAAAGTTATGTGTTGAGATCAGATTACTTAAAGATTAACCATTTTTTGTCATTATATTGAGGGACCGATTGTTGTGTAGTTTTCATTTAATGATATGTACAGCTTTCAGTGGACTGAAGTATGTTCACATTTTTTCTCCTCCCAGAACAGCGAAGTGCGAAGTCAGTTCCAGGAGTTTCTGTCTCAGAACGGCCACCAGCTGGAGGAGCGTCCTTTCCCTGACGTTGTGCAGCTCGCTCTGTCTCAGCCACACAACTCTGAGGTGCACAGACAGGCCCGGCTACAGGCTCAGGACCGGACCAGCGCTGGGAAACTCTACTTTGATCTAGTGTATGACAACAAGCATTTTTCGCGTGGTGCTCTTAAAAAATAACATCAAAATCAAGTTGTTTTAACCTTTTTGTGCATCTTAAGATAAGTCATGTATTGTATTAAATTAGCCTTTATTTTCTTTGCATCTTCTGTTACTGGGTATTTATGTAAAATGGTGACACCTCATGTAAATTGAATCCAGTGTGACTGAGTTTTGACAATTCTTGTGCATGTGGGGTTTTTGTGCAGGAATAAGAGCAGCGTAGAGAATCTGTCCCGTTTGGTGATCCACCCCCACCAGGGCTCCATCTACTCTGCCTGCTTCTCTCATGATGGAACCAAAATTGCCTCTTGTGGAGCAAGCAAGACACTCAAGGTAACCATGCAGTCAGTGCATGTTTTTTTTGTGTAAAGTCATGAAGGGCAAACAGTTTCCATGGAGACAAACTGCTGGAAAATATGAAAAGCACATCACTTTTTCAAGCCACAAGAAGTATGTATTGGTAAAAAGGCAGCATTGCTGTTGCAGAGACCATATCAGGTTCAAACATAGGTGTGCATGTGGTTTATTTGATCATTTATTGTTATGCAGATTGTTACATTTTGGTTATTTATTCAAAAAAATAACAGTAGATTCTCTGAAATCCCTGATATCTGAAACTGCTTTTTGCATCATAGCTGCAAGTAAAATTGTGTCTCCAATGAGCAATTTAGTGCTTTTACTGCATTTATTAATTGATGTTCAACTACTGTCCTGACCTGTGTGCTCAGGTGTTTAAAAGTACCTCGGGCGAGAAGCTCACAGAGATTCAGGCCCACGAAGACGAAGTGCTTTGTTGTGCCTTCTCCCCTGATGACCATCTCCTAGCAACCTGCTCTACTGACAGGAAAATCAAGGTAAGCAGTCCACAGGTCTGTTATGATCAACTTTATTACAGCAAACAAACAGGCATGTAAAACAGCACAACATGGCACGTGTTAACCCTCCAGGCATGATTTTTTACAGCCATAGGAAGTCCTGTATATCTGTAGAAACACAACAACCAGGCCTAGATGTAGAAAAATGTCCAAAATCTCTTTTGTGCACAATGACAGAGGGATGATGCCGTAAATCATAAATACTGGGTGGGCCCAGGTGTGAAAAATACTTTTTAAAAAAATTACATAATATAGATATTTGACTTATTGTATTTTGAGTTGCTGCCCTACTTGTTTGCTACCTGCTATGTGTAAACAACGGGTGCAGTTGAACCAAATTTTTTTTCATGTGCGTGTTGGTTGCAGCTGAGTCACTAATGGCTTCTTGGTTGTGCTGATCAGTGCAGAATCTTTCTTACAGAATCTAGTTACAGCATATCCTTTATTTATGGTACATCTGGTATTAAAACATGTACAATAATGTGATTTCGATGAAATATCGTGATTTTTAAACCTGGATTTGGACAGTTGTAAGGACAGTGAAGATGAGTTTGTCTGTTTTTATGGTTTCTGATGAATAATGTAATTTTGATGATTTTTAACTTAAAAAAAACAACAAAAAAACGTGCTTTTCAAACCCATTGGTGGGTTTTAGTTTAGCTTTTTTTTCCACTCGTTTATATCAGAATTCTTGACTTGTGTCTTTCAGGTGTGGAACGCAGAGCGCGCCATGCTACTGAGGGTTTTTGAGGAGGAGCACGAGGAGCAGATCAACCACTGTCAGTTCACCAACACAACTCAGCGCCTCCTGCTGGCCACATGCTCCAACGACGAATTCATGAACGTTAAGGTATGTTTTGCATCCATAAACCTGTTTTGCGTGTGCTTTATATTTACTTAGTTCTTTTTCTCATGACATCGCTCTGTTTGTTTTCCACTTTCAGTCTCACGTGTTTCTCTTTGCTTCTATAGCTGTGGAACCTCAACAAACCGTCCTCCCAGAACACCATGTTCGGGCACTTTGCGCCCGTCAGCCACTGCTGTTTCTCCCCTGATGACAGTTATTTGTCCACTTCCTCCAACGATGGCACCGTTAAGGTGACTGCCATTAAACCCGATACTCATAAAGCTGTCATTTCCAAAGCCGATGCACGATAAAACTGTACGTGATTCACATGGGCTGGGTGCACTCTGACATATTTTACTGTTATTTGTAACATCAGTGCAAGAGATCTTAGAGAAATAATTTGTGCATTTTAATAGGAAACTAGTTTTCTATATTTTTTGCACGTTTGAATAAGAACACAGAGTTAAGTTGTTGTTTAAAAAAAAAAAAAAAAATCAAAGGATCATTTGATTCCAGGAGAGCTTCAATTCACAGGAGAAAAGTAAAGTTGGGTAAATAAAGTAAACAAACAACTTCTATGACCATCTTTAATCTACATTTTGATGATAAAATAAAAGGTTTTCGGTATGGTAATTAATTTGTCTACTCTAAATATATCAACATTATACCTAGATTTGTATGATGTTGTGAAGCTTCACTTATTTGAGAACGTATTCTAATATCCTCCCCTCTCAATATTTTGTGTCTCCGATCATATATTCAGCTATTTCAAGTGTCGTCTGCCAACGAGTGGAAGACAATCGGTGTGAGGGACTTGGTTACAGAGAGCGATGAAGAGGTCCTCGTCAAGTGCAGCACCTGGACCGGAGACGGGAAACGCATCATATGTGCAGTCAGAAATGCTGTTCTGGTTAGTATTTAGTGTGGAAAATATAGTTATAAGTGAATCAGTTTGCATATTCAATCAGTGGCCATTCATGGTGTGGTTCGTTATTTTGTCGGGTAAATGTCTGATAAATCCAACAGCTCACTCGGTCCATCCTCGCTGCCCTTGTTCCTCTTGTGTTGTTTCATTGAAGGAGACAGGAAAGAGAGCCTGTTTGTCCGTCTGTCTTCTCGAGAGTCTAAAGAGTGTGTGTCCTGGTTATAAATGGGTGCAGCCCCTCCTTTCCTGAGCTTTCTAAAATCAGTCAGTCTTGTCCTGTAATCAGTCTGTCTGTGTCCTCTACGTCTTCATTCGTTCGTATTCTGGCAAACAACCCAAACACTGCAGAGATGTCTGAGCTTGTTTGTTTGGCCTTAAGAAGAGGGGAAAGGAGAACTTTTAAGCCCCAAATTTGCCTTATGTTTTAATCTGCCGGCACAACATGATATGTTTATTTGGATGTGTGAATATACTTATCACGGACGCTTCTATCAGCGTATGTAAACTGCAGTAAGAAGAAAATCCCAAATGTTTGTTTGAGGTCATTAGAGGCAGCATTGCCATTACATAATTTGTCCACCAGAGAGCATTTACAAGTTTGCTGATTGTAATAAAAAGCAGCCAGGACATTAATGCAGGATTTTTATATCAGTACAAATATTGTTATAGGTCTCGGAAATCTGGGATTGACCAAGCTTTAATATATAGCCAATAGTTATTGCATTAACCCCTTTAAACTCCAGCAGTTTTTCTGGGTTTTTGGTCATGTCACATTTTTACTTAGGGTTATTTTTCATTGCAATATAAAGTCCTGCATCTCTATGGAAACAGTCCAACTATGGCTAGAAGTAGAGAGAGCTCAAAAAAATGTTTTGTGCAGTTACAATGCCATAAATCATTTTAAAAAAATAAAAGCTGAATTTCCTAGATTATTTATTTTACAAAAATGGGGGAAAAATTGAGTCAATTTCCCACAAGTGTTACCAACACTGGAAAAAAAGCGACTCTACCTTCTATAAATATTTTACTAGTAACATAATTGGTCACAACAGAGTCACTAATGGCTTCTCAGTTACATCGAGGAACACAGAATTTTTTGCTTTTTACAGAATATGGTTGGTGCGATCGGTTCATTTTTGGCAATTTTTGAATAAGACAAGTGAAATAAAATTATTTTGAAGAAACATTGCTTTTGTTACAGAACAGCACAGCGTGGATGAATAATTCACGTACTGTTGTAAATTTAGCAATTCTTTCTATTTTCATAGTTTCTGGCTCAGATTTTTTTAAAGACAACCTGCCTTTTAAATCCACTGACGGGTTTTGGGTTTCAGAGGGTAAAAGGATGAGTGAATTGAAAAGAACTGAAATCTAATAATAACTAATAAATAAATAACTCTAACAAATAACTCATCTTATGTAACTGCAGCATTCATGATAGCATTTTAAATATGTTCTGACCAAGTGCAAAGGCGGAGTAGACACTGATTTGTTTTTTGTCTTTTTTCTTTTCGAAGGTGTTTGACGTGGAGACATCAGACATGTTGTTGGAGATCAGGACCAGTCGCCTGAGCACGGTGCAGTACTGTGACGCCTGTCCCACCACGAACCTGCTGGCCATCGCGTTTTCAAATTATACCGTGGAGGTAAACACACACTTATATGAGATTTTATTACGCTGAAAAGATAGATGTAGAAATAGATTTTTAAGTGAAAACGTTTACAAGCTGTCCGTCTGCTCTTTCTAACTAATTTTATGCTTATCTTTTGTACAAACTGTGGTAATGTGATGAGGTGTAAAATGCTCCATATTTATGCGTGTGTGTGTTCCAGCTGTGGGATCTTGAGGCCAATAAGAAGATGGCCGACTGCAGCGGTCACCTCAGTTGGGTCCAGCGTGTCCAGTTTTCTCCCGACGGGTCGCAGCTGCTCTCCTGCTCTGACGACCAGACTGTGAGGGTGAGTGTGTGATGAATCTACATCAGACTAGCAGCTTGTGGACATACTGTCAGTACTGTTCTAATTACCTCTTCTGACAGTAAAAACCAAAGTCATGCAATCATTGAACATCATACGTTCACTAATTGCAGTCTGTTTCCTCCTGCCAGCTGTTATGATTCACTTCCTAATGAGGAATGCTCAGGGATGGTATTGTAACTATAGTGCAAAAAAAACAAACATCTTCATTTTGTGTCAATGACGGCAGTGTATATTAACCATTTATAGCGCAGTATAAATGAAGACTTACAGAAACTGAGAAAGTGGTGTTTCACGCAGCTGTGGCTTGACTTGCTTTAGGCTTTTCTCTCTGCTATTTATGGAATGTAAACATGATTTTTTAAAAACTTGTTTGTCTTGACTCACCATTCCTCTAAACACGGCACTATGTGCTGTTAGCAGTGTAATAGCCATACAATATAAAGTCTATCTGCAGTTTAGCCTTCTGGGGTGGTGTTTAAAGCTTTTACAGTTGCTGTTTTATATCAGAACAGTAAAATGTGGTTGTTGTTTTCATGTAAGTTGAAATAAACACACTGGCCTTAGTAGTTTAAATTAGAACGATAATCACAAAGATCACGGAGACCAGTGCTTGATATTTGGGAACGATTTGTATGTGCGGCCGAAAAAATATGATTTTAGAGAAACCTAAACTCCAGCACAAGACTTAGATGAATGCCTTTGTTCATCTATGTTTTACATATGTTTAGTTGAGGAGAACTTTTCAGCATTTATCCTCCCATGGTGATACTCTTGATGTGTAACCAATCAGAGGACAGTGGTGAGAGACACGGCTGCATCGGTTTTTAAAATTAATTTCTTTTAGTGGAAATCGGTTAAGAAAAATAACTATTGATTTTCAGAAAAATAGAGAATATTGGATACCAAAAAGGACACCATGATTGGCCAGGCTGATAATTAATCAACCTCTTATTCTATATGACAAACTATATCTACAACGGAGCTTTCAGTAACAGCAACTAAAACCAGCCTAACTTGAACATTATATGTTAACTCCCATCTAATCTAAAATCTAATCCACCTGTAACTCAAATCTGCAGCAGCCTGAAATATACAGAACTATAAGAGTTAGTACAATTTAAATGTTTGAGGTACATATAATATTTCTATATGTACAATTGTCATGAACAGCGATGACGCTATAGAGACTAAAACGTTTGTTTGAGCCAGTATGTAAACACTTTTATTTTTGCTGTAAAGTTGAACATTTTAACATTGGGGTCAATGGGGATTGTCTCACTTTCAGAGCCCACCTCTAGTGGTTTTGTGAGGAACTGCAGTTTTTAGCATTCATTTTTCAATCCAACACATTGCCACGTAGTCAGTCTGGAGAAATTTTTTGTTAAACTGACCTGTCTCTTAGTTCCTGTTCCACCAATAAGAAAAAGCCTACCCAAACGAAAAGATCAGACCTGCAAAAGAAACGGAATTACCAGCATTCTTAAGTGTGTGTATTGGAGCTGTCAGACTTTAACAGGAACCTTGGTTTGAACTGCCAGGCAGACACTAATGACTTCTTTACTACCAGGGACAAATTATTCCAAGCGTTTCCTCTGCGGCATAATGATGATAAATTGAGGCTGCAAAGACGTCATTCAGGAGAACCAACATGAGATATGTGAAATGTAATTCTTTGCTCTTTCTCCTGAGGTTTCATACTTTATTCAGGCTTTACATGTCATATGTTTCTTTTTTTTTGCAGCTGTGGGAGACTAATAAGGTTCACACATCCTCAGCAATCTGCCTGAAGAGAGATTCTGACGTTCTCTTCAATGGTGAGGAAATCATCGTGTCAGCTGCAGACAACTGCAACAGACTGCAGGTGAGTTGCAGTGAAAATGGGTGTATAAATAAAGCGGGGCTGCTTGTCTGAAGCAGGAACATAAGGCAGAAATGTTTGTTTTTGTTTGAGTGTCTGCTCCGGTGCTGACAAATCTTACTGTATGTGCATATCAGGTTGCAATAAAAAACAATGTGTGTGTGTGTGTCAGGTGCGTGATGGCAGAACGGGATCGGTGCTGTTCCAGTCAGAGGAGAAATCATCCAGGATTAGGTGTACCTGTATGTGCAGGCAGCCCTCTGCTGTGGTCCTGGGCCAGGAGGACGGCACTGTGCAGGTAGAAAGCACACACGGGCTGAGTGAAACACCACAGAAATGATAACTGTTCTTTTTGACACTTCGCTTCAGTGACTAAACCAAAAAAAATAGATCGCATTTAAATTACTATAAAAGGAAAAAAAGCAGGTTCTGGGAAATTATGAGACATTTTTTGGCTAAACAGATCTGCAGTATAATCTACAGTGAAAATGATCTGGAGTTTCAGCCCTAATTTGTTCCACTGTAATATATAATTATATCTTTTTTAAAGTAAGAATTGTACAAGTCAGTCTGTCATTAGTGGGTCTTATCTGGCTTAAAGAATAGCTTAACATTTTGGGAAATAGATGAAAAGAGCACTACTTCTCTAATATCTATTCTTAAATATGAAACTGTGAAGGGAAAATTTGCTCAGCTTTAATCCCCTACCGGTGCCGCTTAAGCTGCTAACTAACATGTTTTATCTCATTACCTAATCCATGCAAAAACAGAAATGTAAATCCAATAAGTTTTGCTTCTTTTGTGGAGTCTCAACATGAGACAGCGCCAGGTTGGTGCTCTCTCTCTCTGCTGCCAGTCTTCATGCAAAGCTAATCTAATTGTCCCATGGCTACAGCTTTATATTTAACCTGCAGACATGAGTAGACGTGATAAGTGTGTTTCCCAAAACTGTTTCTGCTTCATTTAAATTTTTTTACACTGAATTTTAACATCTTTGCTGCAATTGTCCTTCGAGTAGTTTTCGCAGTTAATACTCAAGCAAACAAGTTTATTTATTTTTGTTGCAACTTCTCACTTTGGTGAGTAAAGACGTGTCTTTTTGTGCGACTGTGTAAATCTCTATTCCACGTTACTGTGGGAGGTGTTTTTCAGGCCGTGTTGAGTCATGAGATCTGACATTAGCGCTGTCGCCCTTTTTTATCTATGCTGTCAGCTGTACGTCAGGTCAGCTCCAAACACCTCTTTCATCTCCCTTCACCCGTTTCTATTTTGTCTGCCCCCTTTTTTTTTTTTTTTAACCTGTGATTTATATTCTCAACACTCTTCACTCCTGCTCTGTTTCTGCATTTCACATCTGTGTCACACACTTTTTTTGTTTTATTCCATCTTTTGGTTTGTTTATCTCTCTTCCTCCTTTGTTCTGCCTGTCCCCGTGCTCTCCTTGCTCCCCATCTCTTTGTCTTGGTGATGAATTGTTGTTTTCAGGCAGAGAATGAGATCGTACTCTGCTGTGTGGCAAGTGTGTGTGTTTTTTTTCTTTTTTGTGTGTGTGTGATTGCTTTTTATGCATATACCACAAAGTTAGAGGACACCCCCCTTCCCAAAGTTCCGTCCTGTAATAATAACACAAACACTTACTCAAGCAGAGTCCCCTGACACATCAGCGCTTTGGCCGGGCCGGCGTCCTACAGCAGAGAGCAACTCTAATTAATTGAAAAGGTCCTACAGCCTTAATGAATACAGAGTTAATGATTTTAATTACAGCTCTTCTGTGCCCCCCCGCCCCATGTCCCTCTCTTCTTTTCTCCTGACCCCAGAGATATGAGAGGGAAGGATTATTGTAGCCAGCACTTAAAGCCGCGCAGATGATTAGCGATCAGAGTTCTTAAACAAAGAGCAGATAAAAGAAGCACTGGAGAAATGTGTGATAACTGCAGTAGATGCACATAAAAAATAAATACATTTCCTGAGAAACGTCTTTTTTTGTTAGTTGCCCCAGAATTCAGCTTTGAACTCTCAAACGCTCAAGTAAGTCAGTGCTTTTGCTGTTTACAAGCAGTTAGAGCCTGGCCGATTCTGGATTTTTGGCGCCAATTATTATGTTGATTTATAGGGAATGAAAAATACCAATATTGATCTGCAGATATACATTAATTTACAGAGTTTGGGTGTTTACTAACTTTTTACCATTATGTGTTCCAAACTAGTTTAGAGACACTGCTCTACTCCGCACCACTGCTGTGATATGTTCTCTGCTACATGTACTGCAGACAATCGATGCAAAAATATCATCTTTTTCTGCATTATTATCTGTAAGACAGATTTAACAACTTCGTATCAGGGGCACATATTTAACTACATATACACCGATACTGAAATATGTGTCCAATATATCGTTTGGACTTGACTACCAAAGCTAGTACATAACTGAATAGTAACTACCAATAACCAGTAAAGAAAATATAATTTGTGTTTAGATAGTTTCTGATTTAAGTCAGAAATTTGTAACTTTCCAACGGTTCAATTTGGGAGAAGTTCTTATGTGGCTACTTGGGATTTGACAACGGACTTTGTTCAGGTTGTCGAACCCTGTAACAGCTAACGACATGAGCTTTTTTTTGTAGAATTTTGTTAAAAGGAGTTAGATTGAAAGTTTAATCTTGACTTTGAAAACAGCAGTTGGCAAATGGTGGAAATGAAATCGTACTATTAACTGTTATATACTGTCAGTATTGTCTTTATCTTTATCATACAGAACTTCTCGTGCACATTGCTTAAAAAACAAGAACGATATTTGTAGAATAAAACCTTATATTTGCTAAGGAATTTCATGGATTACATTGGGATTACCTTCACCATTTACACTTTGTTCGTCAGGTCATAATAAATAGTAGACAGAATCACTTGTATCTATTGGAAGAGACGTCAATACCTGATCACTCTCATCCACTCTGAACATTACACCATTCATCTACAGCTGCATTACTATAAATCTCTGTAACCACTGCTATTTAGTTTCTGTCCTGCACCATCATTTATTACATGAGGGGAATTCAGAATTTCATAATGACATTGTTTTGTTTGATTTTGCTGTTGTTGTGCAGTCATACAAATCATTTTAAATGTCTTTTTGATTTCTTGTTTACATCTGAACACGTTAGGAAAACTTTAAAGGCTGCTTACATATCAAACATTATGTGTGTGTTTTATGCTTTACCAATAACATCTAAGGAAAGATTGAGGTACGTTCCAAGTGCTTTGAATACTTATCGAGGACACACAGTTTTTGCTTTTGCAGTCCCTTGAACTAACACCAGGTGGAGCTCTGTGACAAAGTCCTGCTGCCTCTGACTACTGCAGTGCATTTGTTTTTTCTCCCATCATCCTGACTTATTTATAACCAGTGTACTGGCAGAAAATTACTAATATCCTGTCAATTGGTGTCAGCCTGAGATGCCGGCTTTGTTATGCTAATGTAAAAAGTTGACAACTTTGTGAAGGATGTGCAGGACAGAACAGAAAGTCACCGTGTGTTTCTTTATAATGGAGAAAGTGCTTTTGTGTGTGTGTTTGTGTGTGCGTGTGTGCATTTTGTGGCAGGCGTCAGGGCTGACAGCTAGTCATGTACTCAGGATGGTTGGCTGCAGGATCCGACGACTGCTGACCTCCTACAGGAGGTCGGTGCTGGCAGTAGCTCTATGCACAGGCAGCGTGCAGGTATGGCAGGGAAAGTGTAATGTGTTTGTGCTTCAGAGCGTTCCACAATCACTAATTGCTGTTTGTGAGTGTGTTATTTTGGCGGTTTATTTACTTTTTCAAAGGGCCCTTTAAAGACTAATAATAGAATAGGCAGATTATTGTTGTTACTGTGTGTGTCTCAGTTACATCTCATCGTGCAGGACCAGCCTCGTTATTGCCCATCTCATTCCTCCACCTCATTTTATTCGCCAAATATGAGTTTTGCAACCATTCAGGGGCTTGTTTAGTCCCCTGGTAGAGGTATTAAAAACAAGTGTCCCCCTCCATCTATCCTCTTTACATTAACCGGCTTTTATATTTGTTTACTTTTTTTCTTTACCAAACACCCTGAGGCATTTTCCTTACTGCACCATCCCAGAAACGCTTGAGCCGGATGTGTAAAGCTGCCAAGGCGCTCTCTTGCCGGCTTTGAAACTCGCGTCTCAACGCGTGGAGCTTGACAAACATGGTTGGCGTGCCCCGAGGCTTGTTCTGCTCAGACATTTCAACCTTCTCCACTGAGACATAAATATTTTAGCACCTGGTAAACTCCCAAGTGTCGTCGGCCCTTCTTTTATACTTCCAAAACTACAGGTGCTGTGCGGGACTGAAGACAATGGCGTTTTGTACTTCTATAGTTTTACTTGCGCTCTATGTTTGAAAGCTCATTTGTGCTCTCCAATTGTGTATGAATCACTTTAAGTACGTCACTATTTATCAAGTTGGCAAAGTTGTAACTGAAACAAGGCTAAATCTGGGTATTTATTGGGGAGTTACAGTCGACACGGGTATGAAACGTGAGGAAAGAGAGCAGCAGAATGACATGCAGCGTAGGTCTGGCTGGTCGCAGCGTAGGTCTGGCTGGTCACAGACTCGGTTGCTGACGGCATTTTTGCCCATGTGGTCCACAACCTAATGACTTGGCGATCAGGCTGCCCCAAATCTGTTTTTTTTTTTTTAAACATTACAGGATAAACTATCAGGGGGTTAATTAGAAAAATCAAAGTTTGGAATTTTGCAGTGGGTTTTGTCATTTTAGTTATAATCTGTAAGTGTGTTTCACCTCATAATACCCCAGTTAAGCTTCATTGTATTAGTCTTTGACAAGCAGAATCAGTTCATGTTAGTGAGACAATATTATTTCTCTCTATTTGGGTTTATTCAGACTTTTTTTTAGGCTACAGGCAAACAGGAATACCATCCACAAGTATCTTTGCTCTGATATTTTTACAGTGAAAAAATTCCCCAGACTCTACAGTCAAGCTCACAGCTGGTGGTCATGATCTGAAGAAGAAGCTGTAATATTTGACATGATAATACTGCTAAATTAAGGGTTAAGGAACAGTTAAAATGATTGTGGTTGATCCTGGGTGAGACACAGTTTGAAGCCATATTTCGTGGAATAACTGTCAAGACATTTCACTAAAAACTACAAACTTCACCCTCATTGCGAGAAAGTCTCCAAGTCCAGAGAACAAAGGTTGTCTGTTCAAGACTTCATTGCAATTTCATGAGACCAAAGTGGTGAACCAACTGACTGACCATTCCAAGAAGTGCGGCTAAAAAAACGTCCTCACTTTGCTACAGACATCCATGAAACCGCGTTAAAACCCTCCGTGAGTCTCCAGGCCACAGTGTTCCATCCAGTTGACCTTTTGAGGACATTCACTAAATCTTAAATATCTCTCAAAAACCAATATTGAATACTCTGTAAGTATTCCGCTCTCAAGAATGTATTATAACATGATTTAATGCAGCAGCAGCAAGTGAGAACCCACAATGGCTTCTTTTTTTTTTTAACCGCTGAATATTTTAAGCATCAAAGCAGTTTTGTTCTCGGACTCCTCCAGTAATATCTGCCGGGCTGTCAGACCTACGGCAGCCCTCCGCGGCCTTGACCAGACTGAACGGCTGCACTTTCCTCCCCATCTCCACTTTCTTTTTGAAGTGCTTATCACCATCAAGCCAGCAGTGGCGCTTTACTCTCCTCCTTTCTCAAGAGCTCCCTCAAACTGTGACTTTGTGTCAGGAAACTTTCTGGGACACTTTTCCTCCGTGAGTGTATCTTTGCAAACTTTTAAAGGCCTGTATGAACATTTTAGATGCTGCATGTGAATCCTACATGGCTTCTTGATACAGTAGAGCTGATTTTTTTTTTTGCCCAGGCACTACCTTGGTGTGCTTGAACCATCATTCTTGCTGTTTACTTGAATATGTGTAGCGCTAATATGTCTTTGCTTCTTCCCTCCAGGTGTTGGAGGTGCCCTCTGGGAAGCTTCTGGCTACTCTGCTGGGACACACCAAGACTGTGCTGCACTGCCAGTTCAGCCAGAACGGCCAGACGCTCCTCACATCCTCTGAGGACGCCACCATAAGGGTAGGCTGGACTCCTCTCCTCATTCAGTTTCTTCCTTTTATACTTTAGTGATTCTCTTTCTGCTTGCCGTTTCTGTTTCTCCTCCTCCCATTCATCACTCTGTCCCTCACCTTCTTTTCCTGCCTAATTGATGGTGTGTTCTTTCACCTCCTCCTCCACCCTGCATCCCATTTTTCTTCTCCGCTATTGATTATTCTCCCACCCCCCACCCACCATTCCTCACCTTGAGTAAAAATGCCTGCTGTGCCGAACCGTTCATCCTCACAGCGTCTCGGGTCTGTGTGGCGTTTTCACTTTCTCCTACCTGTTACGTTCGACCAGCCTCCCCCGTCGGCCTCTTCACCTCTCCATCCTTCATCCCCATCTTTTGTTTCCTTCCTTTTCCCTCTCCTTGCCTCTGGCTATGCCACTCTTCTCGATAGCTCTTTATCTCCCTCCTCCTCTTGTGTTGACCGCGCGCGACTATCAATGTTTGTGTGCGATGCATGTGTGTGTGTTTGGGCCCGTCACGCTCTGTCAACCCCCACCGTTCATGCTCTATTGCTCATTTTCCCTTTCCTCTCCTCCCCTCTCATCTCCTCCTTCTTCATCTTTTCTTTTCACCGACAGACCTGTCCACTGCAGCACTTCTTTCCCTCTCCGACAGCACAGCACCTTATTCCGTATTCATGCGGCTGCTGCTTTGGACCATCACTATTCTCAGACCATCCGCCACTTATTCAGAAACTATTCAGATTCATGCTGTTTGACGTGCGCTCGCTAGGAAATGGGAGTGCGTATTTGGATGTTAATGCAGACGCAGAGTGAATGTAAATAGACCTAATGACACTCATGTTAGTTGGTGATGGATTCTAACCTTCGGACCAATGACAGATTGCATCCAGGGGAAAAGGTGCAGCGTTGCACACAAGGTCTTGATTGATAGGATTATCTGGATGATTCTGTCTGTTCTGCCCTCATCTTTGAGCTCAGTTATGCTCCCGTTTCTGCTCATTTACCTGCCTGTGCACATAATACGAGCAGTCTGTAGACAGATGCACAAGTCCAGAGTATTAACTTTACAGATGCATTCGCTGCTACCCAGGACACCTACATTAAAGATGGGAAAGCATAGAAAGACATGAAGCACTGTGATCCACGGCACCGTTAGTTGTGTTTTCTAGTTACATTTCTGTACTCAGGAACTTATTGAATTATTACAACCTTGCATACAGGAAACCACACTGTATCATTAGCTGGTGGATGCTTTTTAGCTGCAACATTGTTGTGCAAAAGAACAGGCCAGTCGGAAAGCAGTTTCTTAATCTACTTTCAGAAAATGTGTCTTTTGTTTTCATGAAAATTTGTCCTGTTGGAGTCGGTGCATAAGGAAAAATTGTAGTATTTTTTGGACTTGGGTTTTATTCTCTTAGAGATTTTGATTTACCCCGACCTGTATAGAAATTTGGGAAATTCAAAAAAGACAGTGTTACCCATTATGACAATAAGATGCAGGGTGAAAAATACAGAATTTTGTCCTCAATATCCCTGCTGTTAAACAAAAACTACTAATACTACCCATATATTTTTTATTTAAACAAAAAAACAACATTGAATTAAAAAAAAAAAAACAACTCATCAAATTTGTCAAAACTTTGACTTCAGTCCCAGTTCCAGAGTTCACGCTCACAGACTTTACATGATGTCTTTTGTAATATCAGTGTAAGAGACACTCGGAACAGCACAGATATTCCTGTTACGTAGACAGCAATATTGAACAATCCCTAAATATGCGGATAACAGAACATTGTCCCAATCTTAACTGAAATACATTTATAGATTGGCACACACACAACACACCATTGTTGTGCACAGAAATAATTGTTATTAATTCAAAGCCTGCTTGTCACAGGTGTGAGTGTTGGATATTTTTTAAGTTGTTATGGAAATGTCGAATACAGGTGTTTAAAAGGTGTGCAGGAGAAGGTTTCAAAAACTATTGAACAGTCAGCTTTGTGCTGAAGTGAAAAGTACCAGTGACGGAAAGATTGCTTTTCTCTGTTGCCCCCTGCAGGTGTGGAGGTGGCAATCAGGTGAGTGTAAAGTACTTCGGGGTCACAAGGAGCAAGTCAGATGCTTCTCTGTCCTCTCCGACGCACCAAACAACTCCAGACTGCTGTCCTGGTCCTTCGACGGTACTGTGAAGGTGAAAGTCACACATGCACGCTCACAGCACATTTACCAGCAGAGTGAAATCAAACCATAAGTAATCCCCTTCTGTTTTTGCATACTGCAAGGTGTGGGACACGGAGAGCGGGGAGATACTGCAGGACATCGAGGCTCATCCAGGAACTATTCTGGCCTGTCATGTCTCGCCAGACGGATGCCTCTTTGCCACCACCTCTGCTGACAAGACTGCTAAGGTTCAACACTCACACACACATGCATGAGATGAGGCATATCTGTTTGTGCTTCCAGTAGCAGCATGACCTATTACACGTCAGCTCTCAAAGCTCCCCCTGAACTGATTACTTACAACACATACACACGGATGCGTTGCTATGGGTGATATCTGAGGCCAAAAGTTTCTCCAGTAGGGAGGCGAGGGACCTCAGAGATTAGCGTGCAGCAGATGGCCCCAGGCCTGGTGAGTTAGCTGCAGGTCAGTCTGTCCTCCTACACCCATGTCCTGTCTAACTGCAGCCCGCAGTCCTTCTGGCCAACCAGCCTGGCAGGCCGGCTGGCCCGCGAGCGACCCACCTCCCTGTCTGGATGCAGCTTTTGCCAGGTTGCCGTTTACCAGCACCACTGCGCTTGACTTTGGCCTGACTTTGACTGACTCACTGGGCTGGACATGCAGTGTTTCTCCAAGCAGCTCCTAAATCATTGCTTTTCATTTCTTCTCGTCCACAGAGAAGTGAACTGTGCTGAGACTGTGTGCTCTCTGACACTTGCTTCTTTTCAGTGTCATCCATTTTCTGTGGATTGTAAATACGGCTGTGGCTTCAGTGGTAGATTTGTGTGTCTCCGTCAGTTATTCAGTCATGGATGACAACGGGTGTTCCTGAGTGTCTAGCATTAGAAACAATTCAAAGCCACTCTGTCTGGCATTTGTTAAAGCGGTTGATGAAGAGCCACTGCCACCAAGTTTCACACGGGAATTTGGATTTGGTCGACACTTACTGTAGAGAACAGGCACTGGGTCGCCGGCCAACCTGGCTTCTGTCAGTGAACGGCAGGGAGAGGGAATGTGTGTTTTATGGATTTGGCAAAGATCATAATTGAGGTGTGTGTGTGTGTTGTGGGGCTGGTTAGCAGCCAGTCACATAGTCCTTGCTCTCCAGACCGAGTAGAGGCTTCACTAGCTCAAAAAACACACAAACACTGAGGTCCCTGGTTTCTATCTATCTAGAGGTCAAACCAGAAGACTTAGCCGCTTGTGTCTTTGTGGATCACCACAAAAAGAGGGAGGACCCTCCATCCCTTTTCCTCCATCTCTTTCTCTCTCTCTTTTTCCCCCTTTTCTTTGCTTTTCTCCTGACCTTCAGATGAATTGGACTCTGTGTGCAGACATCGTTAGTACTGCCAAATAAAGTGTCTAATTATGAGCTGTGTTATTTTCTGTGCAAACACAGGATGCGACCGGGGTAAGGAAGGAACATGGAGGGAAAAACTAGGATGGGGAGAGAAAGGAAGGAAGGAGTATAAAGAGAACAATGGGTGAGATTCAGAGACAGGGGGAGGGAAAGTGAGAAAAAGGAGAGGAAAGACAACAGTGGAGAGAGAGAGAGATCACTCATTAACAGATAACAGTGCTGTAACAACATTAGCTCTGCATTTGGCACAAATATTTGTGCTCATGAGATCTCTCAGGAGGTGATGACTGGTAAAAGCAGCAGAAATAAAGCTGATTGGTCCATTTACCTCTTCTAATCAGCATGGAGATAAAGCACACTGTTGATGTCACGAACTTTATTCTCTGAATCCCTTATTTAGCTGCCCTGCTTTAGAGAAAAGTGTTGCTTCTTCAAAACGGGTTATTCTTCTTTGTAAGAAGACAAAGCAGATGCAGCACATACATGCAGATTCTCATACATGCATAATGAATGCACCAGTTTCTGCTTTTCATTCTTTTTCATGCATTACTTTCCTCTCTTAGTTGTGGCACTGTGAGTCCTGGCAGTGTGTCCACACATTGAACGGTCACCAAGACTGCGTCCGAAGCTGCCGATTCTCATGGGACAGCCAACGCCTCGCAACAGGAGATGACAACGGAGAGATCCGGGTGTGTGTTCAAAACATTCAGCCTTTTCTTAACATTTGCAGTGTTTATTTTGGCTGCTGAACCAGGAATTCAGACTCGTTAGGCTGATGGAAATAAACCTTAGAATAGTGCCCAGATGCAAAATGTTGACATAGAGAGGGTGCAAAGTAAGAAGATTTATGAGAAAAAAGGGGGCTGTAAAGAGAAGTTGAAAGCATAGAGGCTACAGATGAGAGGTAAGTAAAAGGTTTCCAACTGAGCCGTCTGCCTCCAGATACTCACGAGTGTATCAGCATACCAAATGGCTCCATGTTACTAGTATGAGGAGTAGCGACAATGCCTTAAACCGTCTAATTTGCTGTGCAACATACAAAAACACAATTACAGGAGTCAACATTTATTCCAGAAGTCACCCCCATAATTACATCTCATCACTCATTTAGATAAAGTGGTTACTAATACATCCTGATTGCTGCAGTGCACCGAGGAGGGGTGAGATGAAAGGAAGGAGGCAGGGCTCCTTCTCAGGAGGGGGTGTGGGAGCTGGAGGTGTATAAGAAGCTGGGATGAAGAGAGCAGGAAGAGGAGGAGATGTCTGACAGTGGGAGGTGAAGGAGAGGGCTCAGGCTGCCAAATTGGATCTCCAAGGCTTTGAAAGGCGAACGCAGCTTGTACACAAACACACACACGCACGCAAAAAGTCAACGTAAAGCTCGACTGCGAGAGGCAGACACGTGTCGCACAGCCTGCAGTGACAAAACGGTGCAGCGTCGGTCAACAAAGGGTTAATGCCCTCTGGTGGCCTCCGAGCCGAACAACTCCATTATTCAGAAATGACCGAATCCATCAGATCCAATTACATAAACTACAGTGAAATCTCAGCCGTTTCTATGGAAACAAATGTGAGTCATTCAGCACAAAAGCATGCCAAGTGTTAAATATAGCTGTACGTGTGATGTGTCATTGTCAAATGAACATGGCATGTGAACAGTTGCATAACAGCTGCAAGAGACATGATGTTCAGCACAAGTAATGATGGGTTCACAAACCGTTATTTCATTACCTACAGTATGTCACATATCATGTAGGGTATTTGGGTCATTTGACACATTCTGTACAATATCTCATGTGCAGCATTGTTTGTGCTCATTGTTTTTGCTCGTGTCAGGTTTTGAGGATGAAGCGAAGGGTGACGCAAAGCAGGTGTGCAACATGACTGCACCTTAATGTTGCAGTTTCTACGAATTTCTTGTAAACCTTCTTGTAAAGTCTAAGTGAAAAGACGTGTAGAATCAAAACAAAGAACCCCAAACACACTTGTTCTCACCCGATTAGTTATGTTTCAGTCCCCAGACCTTCAAGGCCCATATTGCACAATGCAGCTTACAGCCTTTAAAAGGTAGAAACGACACTGTGACAATTATATAAAAAACTTAATCACAACACTTTAGAAACACTCGTACAACACAGAAAAAATACAAGACAAAAAATGAACATATCAACAAGATAAGAGGATACCTTAAAAGTTGAAAGCCTTACCATTAAATTTAGTTCATGATACCTGCAGTTTTACATACTTACTCTTTAATCTCTTATTGTTACAACAAGAGAGCATCTTTTAAAAACTGATTTACGAGCAGTTGTAGCTGTCAGGGTTTCACCTGTTAAGTCAGGCATCTTTGGGTGTTTGTCAGTGACAGTATTGTGTGATTTATAACCGTCCATCACAGCTCTGGAGCGTCAAGGATGGCTCTTTACTGAAGATTTGTTCCCGGGACACTAAGGACGGCATGGACTCGCTCCACGGAGGCTGGGTGACGGATCTGCACTTCTCCCCTGATAACTCTCTTCTGGTCTCCACTGGAGGCTACATCAAGGTATGCTAACTCATCCCGAAAAGCTCATTTGTTGCTTACGTATGTGTGTTTTGGATTGTGTTCCTGCTGAATATTGAATTGCTGTCCTCTGAGTTGTGATTGCTGAGTCTTCTGTATACTAATTCTATTGCTTGTGCTTTAGTTTTTAATAAATGCCAGTGTGCCAGTTCTGTTGGCAGCCATACTTGTCCAAACCATAACAGAACCGGCACCTCGTTTGACAGATGAAAAAGTATATTGTAGGTCATGACCTGCTCCTTTTTTCTCATTTTGCGCATTAACTAATGCTGAAACGACACAGCCACCCAAGAGACATTTAACAGCCGTGTGTCAAATACCTTTTTGAATCCCTGCAGTTTGGCCTCTCGGTGTTAGAAAAGGTTGTTTCTCATGCAGTTCTTCCAGCACTGATGTAAGCCCTCTCAAACTAAACCTGAGACTTGGTCTTTTTAATGCTTTATTTGTTGTTTTATTTCAATAGAATGGGCTGAAACACCGAGCCTGAAGAGCAAAAAATGTGTAACTACCCAAAGATACTGACCCTGTAAAATGTGCTTTGTTTGACATTTAATGCCTTCATTAGAAAGCCACTTGGACAGATGACAAGAAATAAGAGGAAGGAGAGATGGGCAATAAAAAGCAACAAATGTCTCCAGCTGGACTTGAACCAGAGATGCTGCAATTTATGGTTGTTGCTGAATAGTCACCTTTATATAACTGTGTTGTTTTAGGAGATTTTATTTGGAATGTTGTAGTTTTACCGTACTCAACCCTGATGCTACAAAGACGGCCTCAAATATTTACTTTTTAGGGTAAAGCAGAATGGCGGAGTGGTTTTCTATTCAAATCTATTTATTGAGGGATAAAACATCACAAACATTAAATAATGAAGTTCAAGTAGTGATTTATTTTCCCCCAGTGCACAAGAATTCAGAATTTACCTCGTCATAGGTGATATTACACACCGATCATTCAAAACATTGAAACCTAAGACAGTATAGGTCCCCTCATGCTTTCAAAAGGTTTTGAAACAGTCGAGCATGGACGCATTTGTGGGTTTCCTGTGGCGTCTGGCACTGTGGGTTGTGGCCTCTATGGATTGGGCATCTTCTACTGCATCCTGTGGATCCGCAAGGAGATTAGGATGTGGGGAATTTTGAAAGTTAGGTCAACACTTTTGGCTCTTGGTCATGTTCCTCGAGCTGTTACAAAGCAGGTTTTGTGTTGTGGTTAGGCTCATTGTGTTGCCATGGAGGGGAGGGGGTGCGCTTGGACTGCAGCAATGTTTAGGTGGGTGGTACGTGTCAAAGTAACAACCCACATGAATAGCAAAACCCAAGGTTTCCAAGCAGAACATTGCATTTTAATGGGATCGCCAATGTGATTAATCATCATCGGTCATTGGTTTTGATGTTGTGGCACATCGGTGAATACAATATGTAATGTGTTTATGCTAAGCAGTTGCTAGAAAACATATTTGTTGTGCACCAAAATGTGTCGTGTGCCTCTTCCTGCCCACTCATGACCTCAAGTTTATATAAAGTCACATATTGTATAAAGATATTTTCGCGAAGTTATGCAGCATAAATCTCTGCATGCTGCTTTTCAGAAGTGTACGGCTTTTGTGTGTTTAAGAGAGCATTGTTGGCTGAAGGATGTTTGATGTGTCACAGTAAAAACAATAGATAGATGCACCATTGTTGCAGTGACTATAGGACTGTTGCAGTGCTGCAGGTTTACATAAAAACACTCAATACCTCGGAGAAAGATATCAGTGCCTCCTTGTGACGTGACTGGAATAGCGTTTTGCCTCTTTCTCTTTGCCTTTACTTTTACAGCGGCTGGGGTCACAGAGCGGGCAGTCTCAGCCGGGCTCTGATTGGCCATTTGTTGAGCAATGATGTAATTCTCCAGGGAGAGCAATTCTGATCGATGAAGCTTTATATCTCAGATTACTCCTGATACTGTGTGTGGGGCGCTGCGCGAATGTGTGCATGTGCGCTTGTGTTTATACCTGCGTGTGTGGGTCGACGGAGATGTTTCTGTTGAAAGCTGTGGATGCTGTTGTTCAGGTTTTTTTATAGACAGATGGCAAAAAACACTTTATAATCTCATCTGCAGCAGTTTCCTGTTGACAAGCACATAAAGCCTGGAAATGAGCTCAAACATAACAAGCCCAAATTTCTTTCACTAAATACCTTTTCTTTTTGTATTTTTTTTTAGTAATGAGAAACAGAAGATTTTTCATATGGTGCACAACACATGCAGTTTAGTAAATGCTCTCAGTAGGCTGTTAAATGCTAGAAAAAAAAGAAACGTAGCAGCATGACATCATATGTGAGAATATTGTAAGGTATAAAATTAACTGCCTTTCTAACAGAGAAGTGCATGCAGTCATACTTGATCAATGTAAAGCAAAGAAGCCAATTACTGAGGATGTAGATCCTCAAGGCCACTTCAGGCTGTATTCCTCTTGCTGGATTATCTGGCAATAGGTTTGGGCGATATAAAAAATAAAAAATAAATAAATCACAATATTTATGCCAATAAATATGCATATAGAATATATCACCACATAAATTAAGTTAATATTTCTGTTGAGCTTAAAGACCTCTACGGCTGAAAATCTAGTTTTTTCAACACCATATCTGAATATTTCTGTCTTATAACTGCCTTGTACCAATCCAATGACAGTATCAAAAACATTGATTCAGACTCAAGCTAAGCTCACTGATTGTTTACTTGAACTTGATACTTAGTGTGTGGACATGGTAGGTATCAATCACATCTAACCCCTGGCCTCAAAGCCAGTTGGTATGTTTTCCACAAAATAGAAATATTCCCTTAATGGTTCCTTGCAGCAGTTGGAGAATATCAAAAACTACAAAGGACTCAATTGAATTACGCTAAAAGCGAAAAAACCCTCCTTTTATCACCTAACCCTATCTGCAAACAAATGAATATGTAAATGTCTGTTTCTGCCATTTTTCACTTTAATGTGTTAAGTGATGTGATATAGACAATAAATACGAGCTAATTTTATTAATTTTTTTCTTTGCTTGTGATAGCATTGTTTATGTTTTTGTCTTGTTATCATGTCTATACAGTGTTGTTGTTGTTGTTGTTGTTGTTGTTTTAAATGTATACCAAAAGACAGGCTCAAGAAACTCTGACTTTAGGGTTTTGAATGAATCCTGTCAACTTGCACGATGGAGCTTTCCAAATGATTCTTTTTTCAGAACTGGTTGCCGTTTCGAATATGTACGACTGAATTACTTCAATATTACACTTGTCATTGTGTTACATAGAGTAGTTTTACAGTGTTTGAGGCGTAGGTGAGCAGGTGTGCTGAGCTGCAGTGAAATCAGAGAAAGAGACAGGAATTATGTTGATCTGTACATTCTAGGGAAAGAAGTTAAGTGTAATTATATCTAAGCCATTTTAAGGATTATTTTCATGGAAAAAACATTCTAAACATTTTACTTTGTGACACAGAGGTGATTTTTTTGGGATTAAATCAACAACCAGAAAGGGAATAGTGAAGATTTGTATCCGTTTTGTGCTTTAAAGTGTACCAGAACTGTTCACCAAACCATTATAAAGCCAACTAGTACAGCCTTCTACTTATTTATTAGTAAGCCTTCCAGACGGCGCTGCTCCACTCTAATGTAGATCTCATAAGCTTCATGTTGCGTCACATCATGATGACAGTCATAATTATTCTGGGAGTCAGATCACTCCATTACTCCATTTCATAGGCTGTCTCTCTCTTCTTCAGCAAAGCGTGTTGACTTGATGGATCAGCATGTGGATGTGAGGAGAGGTGATGGATTATTCTGCCTGTCTTAAAGGGTGAACCCCCGTGAGTCACGAGCTTTGATTGATTAATCGTCCTCCTTGTCGACCGGGCAGCTATGAGAGGCCATCCTGTCTGTCACAGTAATTACCATGACAGAGTGTGTACCTCTTATGACAGATAATAAAGCCCACAGAGCCAGACAGGACAATAATAATCTAAGTGTCGATCTATTTTAATGATTATTTCCAGTGTATGTCTTCATGCTCGTCTGCTCAGCAATCAAAAAAAAAAACGCCTTTAGTTTTTTATTTGTTGGTTAATAACTTCATATTTAAAAACCTCTCTCATGCCTTAGCTTGTCTATGTTTCTGAGCTGTAGATAGGACACTGAAAAGGGAATAACATTTCCATTTAACCACCAAGGAAGAATATCAGTGTGGTCAGATAAGTTATTCGCAGGAATCTAAAAACTATTCTTGGAACGACGACTCCTTTTCAGTCGTAATTATTTTCCTGTCAGTCTTGGAAAAAGGTTTGGCAATCATACGAACGTTCTCATAAGGGTATTTGGTTTGTATTTGTCCTCAGCTGCTGTAAGGGAGAGATTTCATTATGGAGGATCAGTGGGATTGTGTAAGATGTGCATTTGGATCATAGATGTAGACTGATTGATATTGAAGTTTGGCTTGAATATCGTAAAAGCTCTAAATAATGGCTCTGCTGAGGAATGTGAGGGGGGATGGGATAGTTTTTTTTTTAGTTTTTTTTTAGAAAGTAGAAATGAAAATTTAGAAATAGGCTTTATCGACAAAACCTAATAATAACTGAATATCCCATAATGAAAATGAAGGTGAAACATGGTGCAGCATAAAAATGATCTGAGCTGCAGGTTTGCATGAGAAAGAGAACAAGAACAAGACAAAAATGCAAAAGCTCCTAGAGTAGAGACATTTGGTGTGTCGTTTGGTCAGAGAATTATTAGATGTAAATGTTTAAGGTGCATCTTAATACCCTCTGGAGACCCTGTCTTTGCTGACCTCTATTTTTTATCTTTCTGCAGGGATGTTCAGGTATGCTCTGCATGACACCACAGCGTTTCCACCTGTAAAAAAAACATCTGAATATATCCAACCAAGCATTTGCCATATAGATTTTAATTGTGGTGAGAGGTGAAAAAGTTTAAATCAGAGAGAGAGTAGCA